TTCAAGGTAAGACATATAAATGATCTTTAGAATAATATTCTTGTATCTATGTGGAAATGCATTACGTTTTGATCACTACTTCACAATAAGGAAGCGATAATCATAACTGTTCTTTGATATTGTTACCTAGAAATCAAAAAGGTTGATTGAAAGACTGAACTCCTGCTTGCTTCTTGAAAATTTGAATGCTTATGTAGTATCAGCTACAATTTAACAGCGGTAGAGCACGCTTTAACATCTTCGCACGAATTGGCCCGGCTCGCCCGGTGAAATACCACGACCACACAGAAGACAGGCGTGAAGTGGAAGCAATTCCGCGTTTCGTCTGATGAGTGTGCGTCCCGGAGGCTTAATTTAGTCCTCTTTCCCTTCCCACCCTTTTCTTATAAGGAAAGGATGGGATGTGGAAGTGGACTTTCCGGATGAGAGGATGCATGGAAAGGGAAAATATTTTCTTTCTGTGCATCCTCTCCTCCGTCGATTAAAGGTAGGCAACGCATATGCAATTGCGTATGTCTATGGGCATCGATCACTTCGTTATTTCAGCGGTTTCCGGTGGCCGCTTGCTCGTTTGCCACCTTATGATATAAAAAAAATATGTATATGGATGCATTTAATTATATGTCGTGTACTATTATGTAAGTTCACTTGCTAAGGAGTATATCACTAACGGTACGTTTAATACTACCAACGAACGTCACGTGACATTTCTAAGCGTACATATTTATCGCCACAGGTAGCTAACAATTGCGTCAGTTGGCAAAGTGTAATTGGCTTTAGGCATAAATAAGGATCACTAGTGACGGGACAGAAGTCTAGGATTATCCACGCCAGAATCGATTCGAATGTTACCTGGCTAACGATGTGTCGTTTCGGAGCGAAATGGCTTTCGGATTTGTATAGGATTGTTACATTTATATTGTTCATAGGCTAATTTCGAGTTGGTTGAGTTTCAGTAAGGTACTGTATATACGGGTTCAATATCCATGTCAACCAAAGCTTATTATAAACTAGCTGTCGCCCGCGCGGAATGAAAAAGAAACTTAATTAGTAGTCTATGTGTTCTTCCAGACTATTCTACATCTATGCCAAATTTCAGCGATGTCCATGCAGTCGTTTTGGAGATACCTTTAAACAAACATCCATCCAACTATTATAAATACGATAATGTCGAAAACCTTCGATTAAATTTGTCCTCCATTGTTTTTTTTTAAGGTTAAATAAATAAATTAATTTGCGTTCATTTATTTCCAGATCTGCAAAAGGTGTGGGTCAACAAGAGAAGATATTACGCTATGAACAGCAGAGTTCTCTTATTTATAAGACAACACGATTGATTCAAGAAAACCACCAAAATCCTCGAAAATCTACAAGCTGAAAATAAAACATCCGTACAAGGAAATTATTATTTAATTTTCTATGACAATTGTCTTAAAAACTAAATCTAGATTTGTTACCTGGGATTAAATATTGTCGAAATAAAACACCTTTTTTTTCTTAAATATAGAATAAGTATATTGAATAATTAAATAATGTTACCTCAAATATTTTGCCAAAAAAGACTTATAATATTGTGTAATCGTAAAAGTAATAATAAAAATTATCTAGATGTCAAAAAATTTCGAGTTTAGAGTGGAAACATACATTTTAATAGTAGTGATACATGAAGGAAAGTTTATTAGTGTCGTGATACGCACGATGCGTACGAATCTGATAATTATATTTGCCAAATAGGCACAGTATAGCAAAAGATTAATACATTGGCAAAAACAGAATCGTGCGTAAACAGTCTAATCAAATCACTAAGAATAAGTTTATCCTTTAATTACAACCATATAGGGCAACGGAGCATAATGCCTAATATTATATGTGATAAATATTAATGTCATAATAATTATGAATTTTATCACATTTAAAAAAACAAATATTTAAAACATCAAATAGTGCCAAAAAGAGGTATGAACTAAACACATTTAGACCTTTATTTAATATGTAATACAAATTAAATCATTTACGTCAAATTTTACGTCGTTAGAAGTATGTTTTTATTTCTTTGTAGTCTGATCAATTATAGACATAACATTCAAAAAAATCTTGTGTTGATTAAAGAGAAATAATTTAAATTGTGATAAAATCCATATAAGTACTGTTCTATAAGTATAATAAAGTATAATTACATATTACATTATATATAAGGGCGTTAGTTATCGTATAGTTTTACAAAACAACTCAAGAAAAGATTAATTAATATAACGTGTTATTGTGTTGTTTTACGATACCTATTTTGACATTTAATAGATTTCATGCTTGTATTTTCAACAATTTTCCTGTCAGTCTTTCGTCCAGTTGTAATAAATATATTGCCCAGATTAAATACATTGAAGTAAGCAACGGCGCGAAGACGAACTGTTTGCAATGTTACGGAATATTATGAGAATCTAGAGCGTATAATTGTGCCAAACTTATAAAAACAATGCAGTACATCCACTGACGACACATTCATAAAAAAAATGTTTTTCGATAAATGTTTCAGCGGTGGAAACCTACGTTATACTGACATTGTTGAGCTTTAAAATGATACATATGCGATATTAATAAAATAATGTGTATATAAAATGTATAATACGCTTACAAGTAGCCATTCGAACTGCGATGGTTACATATAATAGGCGGAGATACCACACTTACAAAGTGTAACAATTAAACTACAAATTGTGATGTATAAATTAATTATGCATCTTCGATTTAGAAACTAAACAGGCTACGGTATTTTTCTAACTGCTAGTTGTAATGTAAATAGGGCTGCCACCTCGGGTTTGACCGATCGAATTCTTTGGGTTGACACTTCGTATATTTGCGTCAGTACTTGATTATTTAAGTCGCGGGCGCGAATACGGGTGCTAGCAACCAGTTCAAACTGGTTAAATTAACTAGAAATCGCGAGCAAATCGCTAGCTCCGCCGCTAATTACATGTGAACATATTCTCATACAACGTCATATGTTTGATATTTCGTGTTCGCGCCCGAGTTACATATGAACACACACTTACGGGTTTGACATCGATGCCTTCGGTTTAGAATGTTGTAAAACATGTCACTTTATCTATCGTCGGCCATAGACTCAAGGGTTGACAATCCCTATATGGGTGGCTGAGATACGGTACAGGACTGGCGTGACTTACAACCTGCATTGTGAGGTAACTCATGACTTGAACTACTGTAATAGTATGATACTCTGTCCATATCAACATGAGATTTTTTTAAAACACAATAAAAGTTATTTTGATCGTAAAATCTTTTCATTACCAACCGTTATTAATTTAGTATGTTTTCATAATCACTCTTACAAGATTTAAGCATCGTAAAGTTTTAAAAAGAGTAAGCTTCGTTTCAAATATCTCATGTTGAAATGACTAGATTATACTGGAGGTAGCCATCAACACATTGCTCGATAAATACATTTGAGATTATAAAATAATATTTATACATCCGCAATGTATTGATATTGTGACAAATCCTTTAATAAATAAATAAACGTTACGCCCAAGGTTGGCCACCCCTGCATTTTGTTCTTTTACTCAATGAATCAAGTCAAGTTTCTGGCTATCACAAAGTGTATAAAACAAAAATACAATGTAGTTCTCCAAATAAATATAACCGACGTCGCGTTTTGTGATGCATGTAAAAGTTTAATTTGTGATGAAGTAATCATTTAAAACTATAGCATACTGTTCCGGCGACTTACGCTCTTTAAGTTAAAACCGTACTCGTGTTAATAAACTAATCAATAACTATAAAGCCTAACCACGTCTCGCGAATTTGCCTGATAACTGAGCGAATTACAACTATGACATGCATTAAACGACTAATTAAAATATGCTCCATACTAAAAGTTCTTATATTTATGAAACTAACGATATAATTATATAATTTTTCATTAAATATGCTTTTAAGTGTAAAAATAGTTCTTTCAGACAAATTGTCAAAGTACTTTTACATGCTTCGATGGAGTTCAAAATTATTCTCTTGAGACCGTTGTTACCAAAAAAAATGTTAATAATGCCCAACGAGATAAACATGTTATAAAGAATTTAGTACTCTAGAATAAATATTAAGATCGGCATGTCATTTTCTTAATTCGATTTAAAGCAAATAAAAATACGCACATTTGCAAATTATATTGGACGGCAAAGACGTTACACAAGTGACTGATAAACAAATACAAAATCTAATAGCAATAAATAATTGTAACCAGACGCGTCAAACTGCAGATTAATAACAGACTTTTTGATTAATAGTAAAGTGCGCGCCATTACGGGATCCAAGATGGCGCCGATGAGATGGTACATTCACAAACAATAAATCAGTAATGATTAAAAGTCTAGTCAGGTGATTATTATTTACTTTACGTCGTCGCATTATTTAATAGTAACAAGTTCAAATCGCAAACCTCCATAAGTGATAATAGTTTTTCGTAGTACTGGTTTTGAACACTATGAAAAATGTCGAGAAGATGCGAATATGCACTTTACTGTTCATATTCCAATCAGATCTAAAAACATATCCTTGTATATGACGCGCACTACATAACAAAATTGTTAGAAATAACTCAAAGTGCATTATTAACGAGTTGGTAATAGCTAGGACTATTGTTCGAGTAGACTAATAGGTTTAAAATTTTACAATCGTTACCGGTTCTATTGATATTTACTGACTATCAATTTATTCAAAGAAACGTGGAGACATACGTAGTCCTATATAAATTTCTTAGTCCGATCGTTACAATGTCAATTTATACTAACTAGCATTCTAAAAATTTACTAACTACTGAATGCTGAATACATCCACACTCGAATGAATGCACATAGACATCTACTTAGTAAAGATATTAAACTAAAAACTACGAAGACAACAGTTGGCAACAGAATGCGTATCCGACGTCAAATGGCAATAAACGCATCGATTGCTTAGACTTTACTACAAACTAGCGAACTATTAATTATATGAGGGTCACCTTCTGAGAATGCTATTTTCGTAAGTTCAAACACTCTTCCAATTCACCAACAAACGAAAGGTGTGTTATCAGATTTGTAAACCTAATTAATATTTCATCATATATTCGGAATTTTGTTAAATAATTAACTTTTGAATGTGAAGTACCGAAAATTTTGAAAATTTAATAACTTAATTATAAAAACATTTAATGCATAATGAGTTAAAAACGCATTACGCGAAATATAGCATCGGAGCGTAAAATCGGCACGGCCTGTAATTTAAACATAGTAATTGTGATACTTTGTGATCACTTGCAAATTACACGCGTCCCTGGCCACAGCATGCGTATAATTGCATCGCAAATAATCACTATTTTCCACTCTTTTTTGCCTATGTTAATTTTCAGTGAAATACATTACATCTTGATTTATGTATAATATATAAACGATGAAAGACAACATTATGATGGAAACTGCAAATAAGCTCAAAGATGTTTGAAGTCAACCCGAAATAGGCCAGCATTGTTGACTGTGGCCTAGTGACTCTTAACATGGGGTAGGCTCCGGTCCCCTCGATTAGAGATTTGATAAGTTGAATACGACGATATAAACTGCTAGCTTTAAAATTATTTCAGTAGATCCGAATACGATGAATATACCTTCTAGTCTAGAACATGCTTTACTGACCCGTATTCTTTATTCAGTCTACGTGTCCAAACAATCGATGGTAATTAACCAGTTCACGTCATCTATCAAATTACATTAACACACCAAATATTAAGTACGTCTACATATAAATGATATCTTAATTTATATTGCTTTATGGTATGTGGAACTTTTGTATGTTTCCGATATATATTCTTACCCGATCTTATTGTAGTGTAAAACTCGTATTTAGATATATGTTGCCGACTGCTGCCTTATCCGCTGTTATATACTCCCGAACGCCTCAAAAACACTACTTTGCATTATTATATAATAATATAAACGTGTAAATAAAGTTACTATAGTTAATCGAACGCACGCAACGTGTTCGTCTGCGAACTATACGTAGACATTCGGACACAAATTTCGACAAGAGAATATCAAAAATAGTGTATCGACGGCCGTTATCTACAATCTGTCTTATATATCTGTACTCGGGCTACTTTCCTCACCCGAGTCATCTGCCAATTATCATCATATAATGGACTATTGTTATAAAATTTTGAATTTTTCATCTCTTTTAAATCTACCCACAAACAATTTTCCTTTTTAAATGAATTTACCTGCACCTTCAAAATTTAGTTAGGATTTTTTTTCTCCAATCAGTTCAAATAAATCGTCTCAAACCCATCCTCAAAAATGCATCCTCAGATTGTAGTTCTAATATCGTCTAATAGATAATAAAATATCAAAATAAGCGTCGAACACAAAAAATAATATTTGAAATGATACTAAAGTCTTATTTAAATAAACGACAGAGATCTTTAAAAATAATTCGCTAATGGACTTTCAAACGAGTCTGGCCGTATGGACAACGCAAATTCAATATTATTACGATGGAAATCGAAAACTAGGAAATGGTTATCCATATGACATATAAAATTAAACTAAGAAATATTTAATGCTAACCAAAACTGAACTCATAAACAAAAAGTTGAGGTGTCGAAAGTTAAAACTATGCTACGATGTGTATACAGTGCTATCCAAACTTTATGGCGGCTCGGAATATCGCACTTTCAGCTATCTGGGAGCCGTCATAAAGAATGAATCTTATAATACCACTCCAAAGGTGAGACATAAAGTCTCAGTTTTGATTAACATTCCTCTCATTGTAATTTAACATCATAAGCAAACAAATTAAGATCTTTTGCTGCAAGATATCAAACAATATACTAAGATTTGTATAAACAAGAAACTATTTTAAAAAGATTTAAAGTACATCACCACTGGGCTTTCAGACGTCTCCCGCAACTGACTAGTTAACAGCTTATTTGTAAGAAATGCTTTAATCGATGAAAATATATGATCCGTACGCGTGCAATATTGAGACTAGTGTGGAATCATATTCGCGTGACGTCATAGTACTAATGTCTCGTGTTATCTTACACGAGTGGCATTTGATTTCATTTGTGCATTTTACTTGTCGAACGCGAATCTTAAAACTTAGAATAACAACGAAAGTAAGTCTATTATTCTTTGCAATTTATCGATAAGAAAATAACCCGATATTTGAGATTGTTTTCTTTCCTTTATTCATATGTTCTTTTTTTTGTTTTTTTTTTTAAATTTTTCTTTTCAGTTAGAATTTAATGAAATCTGCACATGTAATGCTGTTTTGCGAATACATATGCAATGTTAATACATAAATGATGTTATTAAATATAACCAAAATACGAAAAATCAAATGAGGCATGTAAATAAATAAATAGAATGAATATACGCAATTAATCATTCTATAGATCGATAATTCACGTGAGCAAAAAAAATGTTACTAATCTCTGCTAATGTTTACTAAGCAATTTCATCTCTTAAGATGTAAATACACACAACCGTCGAATACCTCGAATTATTCAAGGTTCTAATAGCATATTATTAATAATGTAATGAATTATACATATATGCATTGTCACCGACGTTGTCAAAACAACTTAGAAAATGATTTAAGTAAACAATAATGCGTTACGTGCTGGGCAGGGGTTCGCAACATTTTACTGTGATTATCAAAACTACGTGTTTTTTTAATAACTGAGATCGAATACCCTAAACACGATCGTCGGAACTAACACTAAAAGAGGTATTTGCAACTCTAAATGCTTAACAAAGTGCTATTGTGTTGTTTGTAACGCGATTTCTCAATAATGGAATGTCTAGTCCCAGATCTACATATATTTTACTGAAAGAAATTTTAAACATACACACAAACATTCTTATAACATAACCAAAGACTTGTGTCTTTGAGTAAGTAAATTTATAAAGAAATTAAGCTAAAGAGGATAAGTGCATTTTAAATAGTAGTAATTATTTCCAGTACTAATTTTCTGGAATATTTCATTTAAAAAAATTATCAGCTTCCCAAAAACAAAAGACGAATTGAATGAAATCAAAAAATGTCATCATCAAAACATAAAACATAAAATGTCGAAACAATAGATTGATTGTCGAAGGATATTTGTGTGGATTGTTCGACAGTTATCGGGTTATAAAGAACACAAGCACTAAGCAAACATTAGAGAGGTAAGTAGTACAAGAGCCGGTAGTCCGGACCCTGCATGGGATGCGACAGTTCGGGCGCGACGCACTGCACCATACAAACTATCGGCTGACGTCATTTGCCATTCGTCTGCAGCGCCGCGTTCAACTGCGTCCAGAGATCCTTCTTGCATGACTTCGATCTGAAACAAATACTCATATATATCCCACTTATATAATTAACCGACAAACTCCTACAACCATTAGACATTATTAGTTAGAATCGTTTGGCGCGAATGGCGCGTTTTCGTTACCAAGGCAACTGTCAGAATAATTAGTGAGGGGACATAAACGTCGACATTTTAGTATGGCTAGTGTTGCGCCAGTACACCGGCACTCTGTCGAATTTTCTAGCTAACACAACAGAGACAAGGAAAAACACATCTTAAACGCTTTACATAAAAATCAAACTGAAATGATGATACCATTGGTAAAAATCATTTTAATGGACAGGACAAAAATCCTTTGCATCGAGCGAATAGAAAGGGCGTTCCCTGTTGCGCCAATCGGCCCAATAGGATATTTTTCCTATTAGGCCGATTGAGTCCATATGATAAATGCCAAACGGCCGAACTGGCAACACCCAATAGCCTGAGTACTCTTAGAATATATCATTAAATTATAAAATAGAACAGGCGATAGGCAAAGTCAATATGATTTTAGTTCTGCATACCTGCGCAGCGAAGCGAGCCACTCCTTGAACTGCGTATGCCCCTCAGGCGTTAGCTGGAAGGCGGTGCGCGCTGATAGCACCACGCCCACGAACTCCTCGTACTCCAGCGGCGTCAGGTGGTACAGCTTCTGGTGGATGCACTGGATGTACCTGCACACAAATGTTAACTTACAATTGGTGTTCTCCATTCCAATCAACACTAAGACCCACCCGTACTATACTCAATGCTTAATAAATAAAGTTATTCAACGTGATAGTCATGATTGTAGTCAAGTTGTCAAATTATAATTGTGGTATATAATTTTAATTATGACTTGAAATAGAAAACTATCCAAAACTGTGAAGAAGTTCAATGATCCACCGAGCAAAGTTCGAAATACTAAAATTTTAAATAATTTTAATTAGACTTTCTCCTACATACAGAATATTGCAACAATCGATACGTCTCAGCCCAAGTTTCATATATCCTTAACTAAGCTAAAACTATAGTAAAACTAAACAAAAATGAATGTATGCTTACATTTGCTGACACTTCTGCACGAGGGGCGACAGTGCGCCGCGGAAGTGCTGCATGACCAGGTGATGAGGTCCGCCGCGCGCCAGCCAGTGCGCAGACTCCACGCACAGCTCGTACAGCACGAACGGCGACACCACAGAGTTCACCGCGCACATACAGAACTGGTGCAAGTACTGCGCGCCCAGCCGCTTAGATATACGCAGCAGCCATTTCACGTGCTCACCGTAAGGAGGGTTCCTGCAAATATGCAACATCATAATAAAATCATTTTAAATTAAATGTTTAGAATAAAAGATAGGAGAAACAATACCTTCCAAATTTATTCTGCGGGCGGTCATCGTGCACCCGCCTGGCTTGCGTCTCCAGAGCCAACATGCCCACTCTGTACGCTGCCAGCAAACGCCTCAATTGCGCTTGAGGTAGCGAGGGCAGCGGCGCGGAAGGGGGCATGCCACCTACGTTGCCCACGTTTCCGACGTTCGCCACGTTGCCCATATTAACAACCACATTGTTTCCCATATTTCCCACATTTCCTGTGTTGCTCATATTTCCAATTAATCCTACATTTCCCATGTTGTTAACGTTGCCCATGTTTCCCATGCCACTCACGTTTCCCATGTTGTTAACATTCCCCATGGTACTAACGTTTCCGATAGTGGTCAAGTTTCCCATGCTGCTAACATTTACCATGTTGCTGGTGTTTCCCATGTTTCCTATATTGGCTACGTTTGCCATGTTGCCCACATTGGGAATTGTGCCCACGTTTGACACAGTGCCAACTCCATTTACGGTATTAACGGCACCCACAGCGGATACGGTGCCCACGCCCGCTACCGCAGTGTGTGTCGCTGGGATCGGTGGGGGGATCGGTGCTGGATGCTGTGATAAAAAAGAAAAGGTAAGCCGGGACAAATTCGAGGCATAAACAATTTCATAACGTGATGCAGGAATACTTACATTGACAGGTATAGATGGCGGTAGCGAGTGCGACGGGTGCGCTGGGAGAGCGGGCAGTGCGGGCAGCGCGGGGAGCGGCTGGTGCGGCACGTGCGCAGGCAGCGACGCGTGCGACACGTGCTGCGGCATGGAAGCGTGCGCCGCGTGTGCCGGGAGCGCGTGCGGGTGCGGCGGCGGCGCAACTATACCCCGCACAAAGTACTGCGGCAGAGCGTACTGCGGCGCCGGATGAGGAGGCGGTGCGCCTCCGTACTATAAATGTTTAATACAATAATTACGGTTTAATTTTAAAGTTTTAGGGTAAATTTAAAGTTTATTTTAGTTATATTTTAAGAATTAACAACAATGAAAACATTTGACAATATAAAAAAATATTAAATGTTATTGCTGGTGACCTGCAGCTGGTAGATGGGCGGCGGGTAGGGGTGGTAGGTGAAGGGGTAAGGCAGGGCGTAGGGCATGGGCATGGCGAGCGGCGGCGGCGCTCGGTACTGCGGCTCCTCCGCAGCCTCCTCCTCGCTGCCCTGTCGCAGGTACAGCTCGTGCCAGTAACGCGCCACCGTGTACAACACCTCGGGGTACACTCCACCACCTGAACATAATAAGTTTGCTATAGTCGAATTCTCCGTCGCATCCTCTGACGAGTTCCCTAAAAGAAGTCTTCCATACATTTTGTTCCTTATCCTTATTTAAATTTTTCCTCTATAATTTTTAGTAAGGCATCCACAACTCGTATAACTATTACCTTTGTGTGATAAGGAGTCATTCATCAAGATATATATATATATCACCTTTAGCTGCAGCCTCTACTGTGAGGCAGGCGCGCTCGAGCATGGCGTCGCTCTGCTCCTTGCACTGCAGCACGGCGCGCTGGATCTCGTTGTAGTTGAGCGCATGCGCATGCGGCAACACCGACAGAGCCAGCTCCGCTGCCGCGCGCACTATGTGTACGTCGCGACCTGACGACGCCTACGAATCACCGTATTATTAACTTTATTCCCAGTCTTTACCGAAGTAAAAAATTATCTGAAATCAGGGGAAATTAATAATACCTTATCAGCAATGCCCGCAGCTTCCGGCGGAGTTAAATGTCCCTCCCAGGCGTCGATTAAAAACAAAATGGCAGGTGCACCGATGTCCATAGCTTGACCTGATCGCAAATGAGATCATAAACAATTTGACTATCAAGTAACAAAAAATAGAAATTCCGTGACCTACCTGTGACCCAGCTAACATGCGAAGAGTACGTACGACTCAACCAATTCGCACTGACGCAGTTGTGCAAGCCCAGTGCATAGAGACCCAATTGAAACGCAGCCATGTGTAATCCTCTGCAAATGATTAGAATAACGTTACGAGCACTTAAACTACCAATACATCAAAAGTTTGGGCTAGGGAAGGGTAGTGTATGTTACCTATGCGGCCCCTGCGGTTCCTCCCTGGCACACGTGGTCTGTGTAAAGAGACTGGTGCTGGAGGTGCCGCCCGCTTTGAATAGCACGGACTTAGCGAGCTCGAACATGAAGTGCGCCGACGCCTCCGACGGCTGGTTGGGTACGGAAGGGTAGACGCGTTTCCCTTTATATCTGGAGGAAGTAATGTGATCACTTATATGCATGTAACAGACGAGAAAAAGCACAATGCACCATTAAGAAACAAAAACACCCGAAGTTATTAATTGAAGAACAATATAATAATTAAAGTACATATACAATTTCAACACCGAAGAAAGTTAATTTCATCGGTGTCGGATCATTTGTAAAACAATTGTAAAACTTAAACATACCTCGAATCTTTAGATCTTGTGATGGACTGCGTATGCGTATGTTGCGAATGCTGCGGCGGCTGCATCGGCTGCATGGGCTGCGAATGCTGCGGGGGCGGCATGTGTTGCAGCTGCGTCTGTGCCGGCAGCTGCGTCTGTGCCGGCAGCTGCGTCTGTGGCGGCAGCTGCGTCTGTGGCGGCAGCTGCGTCTGTGCCGGCAGCTGCGTCTGTGCCGGCAGCTGTGTCTGTGGCGGCAGTTGCGTCTGCGGTGGCAGCTGCGTCTGCGGCGGCAGCTGTGTCTGTAGCGGCAGTTGCGTCTGCGGTGGCAGCTGTGTCTGGAGCGACAGCTGTGTCTGAGTCGGGATCTGTGTCTGCGGCGGGAGTTGTGTCTGCGGCGGGAGTTGTGTCTGCTGCGGGTGCAGTGGTTGCTGTGGGAGTTGTGTCTGCGGCGGGAGTTGTGTCTGCTGCGGGTGCAGTGGTTGCTGTGGGAGCTGCGTCTGTTGCACGAGCTGAGTTTGCTGCGAATGTTGCGTGTGCTGCATGTGGGGATGTATTGGCGGCATCGAAGTGTGCTGCGGCGCGGGCAGCATCACCGGCGGCGATGATTCCGCATCGGCTATCACCAGCCGCTCAATGTCCGATACCAATGAGCATGGTGCCTGTTACAATCATAAATTATTTTTAAGTAACTATAGCATAGATAAATTTATAGCAGTTAGAGGTGAGGTTGCTAACCTGTTGTTGCATCGTCGGCTGCGGATGTGGCGCGGCGACCGGCAGTGGGGGCAGTGCGGACACGTGCGCTTGGTGGGCGTGGCCAGTGTGCACCACGTGCTGCTGGTGCGGCGCGTGCGCCACGTGTGGCGGGTGCGTCACATGCGCTACATGCGGAGCATGCGATGGATGTGGTGCATGTTGAGTGTGCGCGTGTTGAACGTGCGCAACATGTAGCGCCTGCGCTGCGTGTTGAGCATGCGCGGCATACTCGGCAGCTTGTTGAGCATGCACGGAGTACTCGGCTGCGTGCTGGGCATGCGCGGAATACTCAGTTGGGTGTTGAGCATGTGCGGTGTACTCAGCTGCGTGCTGAGCGTGCGCGGTGTAATCAGCTGCGTGCTGAGCGTGCGCGGTGTAATCAGCTGCGTGCTGAGCGTGCGCGGTGTAATCAGCTGCGTGCTGAGCGTGCGCGGTGTACTCAGCTGCGTGCTGAGCGTGCGCGGTGTACTCAGCTGCGTGGTGAGCATGCGCGGAGTACTCGGCTGCGTGCTGGGCATGCGCAGCGTAATCAACGTGCGGTGCGTGCTGCGGCACATGCGCCATGTGAGGGGGTGGCGGGCCGGTGTGCACCTGATGTGCGGCATGAGGTGAGTATGCCACGTGTGCCGCATGTGTCGCGTGAGAGGCGTGTGCTCCATAGTGCTGCGCGATGCCGGCTTCCGAACGATAAGAACTGAGGCGCGGGTTGGTCATGTAGTACAAGCTCACCATCGGGCCTTTAGTGAGCTGATGGATTTCGCGATCTAGTAACTGTAGGGACAATTTTGACAAAAGTTAAGTTTAAGATAAAACCTTTAAACGTTCAATTTAAAAAGTGTCTTTGCAAAGTTAGGAATAGAAAAATAATATAATTTTAAAAAGAAAAATAAACTGACTTTGTTCATAACCCTGGCTATCTTGACGGGATCGTCTCTATAGTGGCCCAGCAACTGTAGAGCGAGCTCGCCTCGCTGCCGGCGCGTGCCCTCGCACAGCAACGGGTGTTCCGCTTCCGACACATTCGCCTTCAGACCCAAAGCCGCCACGGCTGCTTCGAAACCCAATAATTCATCCGACGGCAAACGTTCCTAAAAAAAACAGTTTTGCTAAAGTCCTCAGCAATCTTCTCTAAAAGTCTTCCCACCCCAATTCAAATCAAAACATATAGAAGTGATTACATAGTTAACGACGAGTTTGCATACTCACACTTTCATTACTAAATAAACCCTTATTATATAACAATAATGAAAAATAAACATTACTTTGAAAAAATACTTACCACTGGCTGCTTTCTATCTTTATCAACTGCAGAGGCAACCAAAGCATCGAACAAGAAGGAAGCGAGTGTAATGGGCAACAATGTGGGACCACGATTTCTGCAATAATGAAAACTATAATACTGTTAATCTACGTATTTCAGTTTTTCCATATGACAAATCAGATAAATGTAAAATCGGAATATTATAGAAATTGTTTATCCTACCATAATTGATAATTGAACATCTATTACATCTATGATCATAGAAGGAAGTTACTAAAATATTATGAGATAAGTACTAATACTAGTATATTCAGTCGTAATACCTTAAAACACCATCTCGCAGTTGTTCAGCCTTTTCCCTTGCAAGAGCGAGTTGTTGTCCGCCCATTGGCAACTTCTTCAGCAAGGAGACCAGCTCAGTCTCCTGGTTGCTCAGCTTCACTTCCAAGGACTTGGTGCTGGCGGGCGGCCGCGACATCTCAAGGGCGTACAGACCCACGCGGAACGCTAATTCATGATGCTCGCTGAATTCACTCAATACCTGGAGATAAATAACATTTAATAATTTAAAAATTAGAGAATAGAAAGAAATCATATTTATTTATTTTCTCATCAAATTTCTTTAAAATAAATCTTTAGAATTAAATTAACATACTGTGCATAGGAAGGCGCACTTAGCGAGCGTGGCCGAGGCGAGACAGGTGAGACGGTGCGTGGCGGCGCACAGGCGCGGCGGTGGCAAGTGCCGCTTCTTCGCGCGCCGCACCTCCGCCGCAGCAGCCGCTGCAGCCGCATTGCTCGCGTTGCTTCCGAAACCTACACCAAAATATTCCCATAGTTACACATATGTAATAAGTCATTTGCTTTGATAAATACAATAGCGGTATTATCATATAGTGAAATACATTACTATCTTTTAAGTTTAACTGTAAATTTTATCGTGTTATGTTAGCATCACTTGGCGGGAGCAACTACTGTTTAACAAAAAAGTATTGCCAATCACCGAGTGCAGGAGGTCTAGAGAGCAGGTCGCGGGCGAGGCTAGCACCGAGCGCGCATGCCTCGCGCGTGTAACCGTGCGCCTGCAGGCCCTCGGCGCGAGCGAATGACTCCTCCCACCCGCATCCCCAGCCCGCCACTGCACCGCCGCCTCCTCCTTCTCCTCCACTGCCGCCGCCGCCTCCGCCGCTAGAAGACTGCAACACAACACACAATAAATACGGCAAAATTTAATATTAGTTGTATTTTAAAGTGTTGTATTGGCAAAGTTCGAACTATACAAAAACATAATATTATATACATATAAATACAAAGATAAAGTGTGTTTGAAAGTTTTTTCAACATATACTGACGGCAGGGTGCGCGTGCGCGCTGGATCCAGCGCCCTCGCTGGCGACGCGTCTCGCAGCTGCCGCGTCATAGTAGTACATCTGGCAGTCGTCGTCCGAGACCGAGTCGTCGTTGGAGATGCGTCGACGTGCGTCGTCAGAAGACACCGGCGGAGAACTGGACGCGTGCGAGTCCGTGTCGCCGCCGCTCTGTTGCAATATCTCTTCTTCATTCTCGCAGAAACCTATAAATAAATTACATATTTTAATTTTTATAGAAATAATCTGTAGCTTGCTTAAAAACAAATGTTAGTTTTTTATGCTAATCTACTCGGTGACCACTTAATGACTGGAGTGGGCAGTGTCAGGCTACTAGCCTATTGTTTGTAACGTACCTTCAGATGATACACTGGAGTGATTGCCATCTCCCATTGATCCAGAGTCTCGCGGCGGTACATTAGGTCTCACTCCCGAACCTGACGGCTGAAAAAATTGATATGTATACATCAGGGACCTACACAGTGTACCACTTACATAAAAAATCTTTGTTCTTGACAAACCCTGCACCTTACAAAATAACCAATTTATAACACGAAATTCGTATTAAAAATTTTCGCAAAGATTTTTCAAGTTTCCCATACCTGATTCGACGGTCCTGGTATAGCCAAGTCAACAGTGTGGCGACTAGTCCTGTGCATCATCGCGCGCTGACTTTGCATTGAAGGGTCCTGGTTTGACAATCGGTAACTCAATGACATTTCATTGTTTAATACTGCTTTTGAAGAATTCACCTGAAAAATTATATTAATGTTATATTCTTTCTAATACTACTATATTAGATAGAATATAACAATGATTTCTAAAACTACAAAACATTGGATAATCTATAATTTTATTGCAAATAAACATTTAGTTTTTAATATTTTTGTATAATTTGATTTATTTCATGGACACAAGCTAATAAAATCCATTGGGTCTAATACGAGTAAAAATTATAGATTTACAAATGTTTTTGTATGTATGTATAATTTATGTTCTGAATCCTTAGTAGCACAAAAAGATAGTATGATTAGACTAAATACCTGATGCACACTATCATTGTGTTTGTCAGTATGACGGAAGATGGTGAACGGACTGTGATACAACGGATTCAGATCTTTGCTGTAAGTCACTCCTGGTATCTGATAATCATCCCACTCCAAGAAGCAAGCCTCCATAGCGGGATGGAAGCCGGGGAACACTTCGTTCTCACTGATACCATTTATGTATGGCGAATGCGTATGAGATCTTGAATGCCTTGAGTGAGACGATGATGAACTCATATTGAGATTGTTACGATTCTTTGCCACCTGGATAAAAACAAAAGATTGTTATTTATAATTGAAATAACAAAATTTCTAGATCATAATCTAGAATCTTTATGTTTGGAAACTTCTAAGCTATAAATTATAGTTGTACACCTGTTTACTATGGAATTACTGCCATAGAAAATCTTAATTGGTAACTTAGGCATACTTGGCGCGGATGTATTACGAATATCTACACTAAGGACCGCTTAACTAATTATTAAACTACTATGTAGTAATTTTCGACGATGGATAGTTACATGTGGTAATGTATACTCGCCTTATCCAAGACCTTCATGTGCCATTGAGCGAATTGTTCGTGCAAAGTGTCACGTTCGTGAGGCGCCAGAGACGGATTAAGTGCTGCCAGTCGCCAAAGCACTACCATCTGAAAGCAATACCATTTATAACAAAGGCATTGACAACATTCTTACTATGAGTTTCCTTTGACAAAACATGTATAAAAACATATAGGGATATATGTAATTCAGAAGAGGAAAGCCAGTTATACATATTTCACTGGTATCAATTGCTCAGGTCAGTCTGCAGTGTAGTTATAGTCAAAACGATCACCCTTTTGCAAACAGTTGAAAATTCTTTCAAAGAAGTTTGTTGACACCACCTCATTTCGTTATCGTGTCTTGTAATTTATCATTTAAGCCAAACTCGATATTTAGCTTAAAAAACACTAATAAAAATATACATGTTTAATAGAATTTCTATGATAGCAAATATCTCAAATAGAATTTGTATAACATGAAATATATTATGAGTCTTTCTTTGGAAAGTTAATCAACACACTTGAAGACTCATAAATAAACATTTTCTATTAGACATGTAAGCTTAATATTGCAATTTGTGTTGATAGCTAGTTACATGTAGCTCCCGTATATGACGCGCTGTCGGCTCATTTCGTCTCAGTGTTACGTAACAGCAGTCTTGTCGACTCGTATTTGACGACCAGGAAATAAACTTTCCTACAGCATAAAAAACGTATACCGAGTGAGCAAAATATATAAATGATAACATCACACGCATTTTTAAAACTTTACTTTAAATAAATTAGATATCAAGCCTTTTATGGCTTTTATGGATATTTTGTATCCCCTAAATGAGCAATTTGTGAAAAGACAATTCCGCAACTTTGAAGAGTCGTTTAAACAGCCGAAACCAATTTTCAATCTTTGAGAATAATCCGAATTTTTTAATAGGAAATAAAAAGTAAAAAACGAAGTACAAAAATTTATTCGATCGTCCTCTGAGCCATAGATGATGTTTTTTTTGATATTTAATCAGTTAAATTTGAATTGAATTAATTAAATTCCGCGAATAGTCAAAAATATTTCTAGGTAATTTTGATTTCGATCATAAGTGAAGTATTATATTAGCTGTTGCCCGCGACACCGTCCGCGCGGTTTTAGAATAAAACTTGATGGGTAGCCTATATGTTCTTCGAGGCAATGCTCTACATCTATGCCAAATTTCAGCGAGATCCGTTAAGCCGTTCTGGAGATACATTCAAACATCCATCCATCTAAACATTCGCATTTATAATATTAGAAGTAAGATTAGTAAGATATAGGTATGTAAGCAGTAGTAGTGTGTGGTTACCTCATCACATAGCGAGGAGCAGGCGTGCTGTGCGGCGGAGTTGCCGCCGGCACCGCCGTGCTTGCCGCCCGCACCACCAGACCCGCCCCAAGCCACCAGCGCTGCCTTCGTACTGTACCACCACACTATGATCTGCACAAATAATTCTTTATTTAACAATAGTAGTTTCTAGTGACTTCGTCCACGCAGAATTAAAACAAAAAAAAAACTAGTACTAAATATATCCTATATCCCCCGAGAGTAGTGTAACTTTTTCCTACCGTGAATAAAATTTTTCATATAGATTCAGTAGTTTTGAAGCCTATCCAATGAAATTTTTCTTCTTTATAACATCAATATAGACAATTAATGTAATTTTTTTTTTATCATATACAGGCATTCTAAACAAAGGTACATCAACCAAAATATGGTATTGAATTGCAATAAAGAAAAGAAAGAAGAGATTATTTTAATTAAATCAAGAAATAATAAGGTAACAACATTGTTCCAAGTTATAGAGACCACAATAATACCTAATTTTAATTTACCTGTTCACAAGCCATGATCTCTTCGGTGATGATCTCTAACAGGGGTATAGCATTCCTGTCATTACGTTTGAACATCTCGCGCACTATGGAGAGCAGGTTCCACATGCCTTCAGGCTCTCGCCCTCTCAACGGACGCAGGAGAGATGTCCATTCCGCCGCCGCCGGTGGGGCGCTAGTACTTAAGTAATTCACATCGCTGTAATATTAATATTGATTCAATAATATAGTACTGGATGTGAAATTATATTTTTCAGTTGTACTATTTAATTTCAGGTCTTTAAGACCATAGAGATACGTGAATTACTATATCTTTTTATTCACTGAGACTGTCATATGGAAAAAGATCTATACAACTTTAATCTTCAGATTAGTTTGTTCTAATAAATTTATATTATTTTTATATTTACATAATACGAATAATTTACAAAAAAACAATAATAATATAAGCATGTATCCATTGACATTTAAAGGTTTAATAAAGTGCATTGTAACGTTACATTTTGAACTTTGATCAATGAATCAACTTGCCACATCCTATACCACAATTATTATAAAATTTGTGGCTTAGTTATTTAGCATAATGGGATGCATAAAACTGAAAACGCAATAAAAGCATAATCAACTAGTTTGTGCTCTTTATAATATTAAATATTGATACAAAGCCAAAAATAATAAAAGGACGCCAGCTCTTGATCGTAAATCGCCAAACGTCATTTCATAATAACAACCTAAAAATATTCTACAAACAAATGCAAAAGTTGATTTCCATAAGCTTACCTAAATACTATAGGAGCTGGTACACAAAACTTGACTAAAATCTTGTTGATATTACAGTGCAAAGTCTTTTCATCGAGAAACCATGAGGTATATTCATAAGCTGAGGCTCCCGCTGTGGGGTCAGGAGCCCCACATGTGGCATTAATTTGATTCGGTTGAGCTGATAATAGTTCATCCAGTATTCTTTGAGCCGTGGGTAATACTTGTCTGGGCAACTCCGATATGAGGTATTGTGCAAATTTTTGCAGTTGATCTCTTCGTAATCTTTGCAGTGATTCGGACACTGGTGCTCTCAGGCATACTTGTGTTGGCTTTAACAATAATTGTTTTTATAAATGTATACCAAATACTCAACAATATAACTCACGCCTTTAACCCAGAGGGGTAGGCAGAGACTATAGATCTCTGTTTGCCGCGGATCTGACAGAACTCTCGCATTACATCCATTACATTCACACATCTACGCATATATGCATGTCGGTTTAGTGTGCTTTAGATACTGCTCTTATTGATGATTTCATTAATTTGTAGGGTATAAATCTGTCTGAGACAGCACCGGCCTACACTGCCGCGCACTTTGTCGTCATAAGTTACCTTTGTTAATCTCCTTTCATTCTTCCTCTTAATGTATCCAAACCATCTAAACATACCTGTTTTAACTCTACTCACAACATCCTCTTTTAAAGCATGTGCTTCCTAATCCTGTGATTTGCAGTCATCCTATTATACTCCTAATTCACATAAAACAAATTCACTGAAAAACGTAAATATTACTCACTAGATGTATTCTAAAGAGGCATACTGCTACAATATGAGAACACCAATGGGCCGCTGATGCGCAAGTACAATTGCATGAGGAGATCCTCTGCCTGTCAAATGTTACGGCCACGTTGAATTGAGCCCTTGGCATGTTTAGAACCACTGTTGCTGATAAATGGAACCCTAAAATAAAGAAATCCATGAACATTCTTATTCCATACCAGCGGTCGCCTGCGACTTCGTCAACGCGAATTAATAAAAACAGCCTAAGTTACTCCCACACATTGGCTTCCAGTCCGGTAAAAGTGCCGTCAAAATCAAACCAATTGTTACAGAGATAATCTAAAACTAACCTGGATTTGCAGACAGACAGACCAACAAAAATGTAAAAAATTTGTTCTCCGTAATAACTAGTGCAAATATGTCTTGATTTTTTTTCTATATTTCATACATACACTCTAATTTTATTAATTGTATAGTTATGTGCACTTCATTGTTTTAGATTTGGAAATAAACAAGACTTCCAATTTTAAATGTAGTCTGTTAACATGAAATACTATAAAGTCAATGATGGTTGCATTCAACACATACAGATTATTACCAAGTAAATAATGATGACAATATGACACTGTAATATGGTATTTTATCATACAAAACTTACCAATTTGTAAAACGTCTTTGACTGCCCTGTCTCTGAAGAGATGTTCACCCCTTTGAAACTCATCAGCTGATCCATTTGCGAGACAGGAATACAGCCGGACATCATCCTCACTGTCAGGGAAACTCCAGAAAGCAATTTGCAGCTGCAGCTGCTCAGGCACCGGTGGATATACATGTTCCACTAACTCAAATGGTATGTTGCATGCTACACACTTTGCTGCCAGGTCACTTAATGTTGACACAGTTTTTTCTACAACATAATAGTTGTAATGAGGATTTTGAATATCTTAACAGTGGTGAACAATAAATTTGTTTTATAGCTATGAACTAAGTCTTAGTTGTCTTATGAATAATACGGCAAATGGATACTTATTGGGAGACAGCTAAATTTATAATACTTAAAAATATAAACAGTTAAATTTCATTATTTGTTAACAAATTATAATTATTGTTTTATTTCATACTTTTCACCTTACTCATTGTAACTATATATTGTACATATTTAATTAAAATGATAAATGAAAACTTAATTATAAACAATGATATCATAAAGGCAGATAATATGGAGAGAAAGTTGTAAAAGTTATACACAACTGACCTTTTATTATTTATTATACACTCATTTAGATTATAGAACAAAGGAAAACTACAGATCTTGCAGGGATTTGAAAGCAAAGCTATTATTATTATTACTGTTCGGTCAGTCAAAGGTAAATGACTTCACGACACCTGTTCTTTATGCCATCGTATATGTATAATGTACTCGAGTATCACGATCGCATGTATACGATACCAAAATTTGTAATGAAAATAAAAACAATTCTTAACTATGAAAGACTATGATCATGTTGATTAGTTATATGAAACAGAGTTATATAAAATAACAACTAAAATATTCACTCTTATTACGATACAATGAAACAAAGGATCAGCTGTATAACTTACCTTGAACAATCTTTTTCACAGGACGGCCGTAAATGTTTTGTAATATTGGCGGTCTCCTCCATCCGCGCCAATTGTTGCAGAGACTTTCAGGTTCAGAACTCCAACTACAAAGGGAATCTTCTTCGAAACGTTCGGAATCTTCAAAGCTGAAATGGTCACCTTCTTCCCAATCAAGGAGGGGGGACCCCACGTCGACTCGGGCGGCTCGTCCCCCTTTTCCATTATTATTTGATGTCCCCGCCACTTTATCTTAATTTATCAAGATTATTTTAAAATTACACTCGCTGATGGCTGCAGCGAATTGCCACAGGGGGTATCGCCAACCACTAAATAAGCATACTACTTCTTTATAAGCTAAAAGTTTTATGTAACAAGACAACAACTTTGGAAATATTTTTTCCAGGAAAAAAGATACATTACAAACTTGAATATCTGAAGCGTTTCCTATTTAGAAATCAAAATCCTAAATAAAGTCTCATCGAGCACAATAACAAATATGGCCGAACAACGTCCCATCCCTTCCCGTCCCGTACCTCCCTTCTTCCCAATCGCGCTATGGTTCAATTTGTTAAATTCACGTATAAGTTTACAGATGAGCCGGTAGATGTCAGTGATGGAATAAAAAAACCTCCCTTGCCAAACCATAGGTATAGTTGCTTAGTAAGTGGGAGAAATCAAAATTCATTTTCAGGAAATAATCTTTGGAGAGCCTATAAATGGGTAATACCTACAAAAGCTTTAATCAAAACCCCTTCGACGCCTGAAAGCACGATAGAAAACATTCTAAGCATTTTCGATTTCTCCGAGCATTTACATTCGGTAGATGGACAATACGATGACTGTTCAAATTAAAATAATCTGTTATTAACTTAGATGTGAAATGTTTTCATAATATAACTTATAGTATATGTTTTGGTAATTTAATTTTAATAAATTTTTACAAGGTCTACAATAAATATGTTCTTGTCCAAAGTAGGCAAAACAATTCTCTGGGCGAAATCTGTCAAATCCACCCTATTTTTCTGATTGGCTTTGCTGTAGTCTTGATGCGGTCTAAATGTCTAGAGACTCTATGGTGTGTCTGGTTATCAATCTATGTCAACTCTAGTTTATGGTCGGTTTGTGGCCGAAAATCTGAAAAACTGAGATTGTTCTCGATTCCGAATACATTACTTTTCGGTGAATACCTGATTATAGAAAAATCAGTATAATGTTACAGAAAATTCGCCGGTAGTTCTTTTATGTTAACAATAAATTCAGTAGTAAACACATTTTTATCTCCAATGCTTTCACAATATTATTTGTGTAGGTTACTTTATAAATAGTTAAATTCATTCAATTTACTTTTGTGAAATCTAAAGAATAAAGATGTTTTGTTGGGGTAATTCAACTCATCATGAGTTGTATATAAATGGTGCAGATATTAAAGATTTGGTAAGTCCTCATATACATCAATATCATTTGAAATCAATAATTTTTCACACTAAAACTTTTATGGTTGTGAAATTCATTACTTTACATTTCATAATAAATAACCCGGAAAGGATCTGATTGTTCTACAATTTTAAAACGTTTTACAGTTTTGAAATTTACTTACTATTACACTTATCAATAATTAAATTATAATTTTCGTCCCTGCGCTTAATGTATAGGTAATAAAACCAACATTATCAAAATGGAAAGAAAGCAATCACTTACAAGTTGTAGCTGCTGGAGAATTTCATACCCTTTATCTAACAAACAATGGACATTTGTATTCTTGTGGAAGTAATGATGTGGGCCAACTTGGACGTCATACACAAAGCAGTGATGGAGAAACCCCAGGTATTAGTAACTATGATAAATATTGTTTAACATTAATAATATTTATGGAATATTAATATTTTTCAATAGTCTTTAAAATAAAAAAAAAATCTGCCAATTGTATTTGAAGCCCTACATGACCTTGCAATTTTTGTTAATACTATTATGTAAACATGTTTCACTCTACAATATTTTTTTAACATCATACAGAACGCAAAGAGAATAAGTGGCACTGAATGTGTTAACTATTGATTGAAAGTGGTGAAAGTTTGTAATAACTGTATTCAATAATTATCATAGTTGATTAATTCCTTTTAGATTTGGTGGAAACTTTTAAAGGCTGTACAATATCAACAGTAGCATGTGGCATTCAGCACTCAATGGCCCTGGATGAATGGGGTCAACCATTCAGTTGGGGTTCGGACAGTATGGGACAACTGGGGAGCAATCTTGGTGCTCATGCTCAAGACAAGCCCAAAATTATTAAGTTCCTTGCAGCAAAAAGTGTAATACAGATTGCATGCGGATCTTATCACTCCATTGCTCTAACAAATAGTAAGTTATATATACATTGTTAGGTTTACATTTTATTGTTTAAATGATGGACCATCTTAAAATCTTTAGTTATTCAAGTGTTGCATTGAAAGGCAAGATATAATCTTAGTTTGTACCAAAAATAAAAATTATATCCAATCAAAGAAAGGTGATAGGGATTTAATTTTTTTATATCACAAGGTAGCAAATGAGCAATCAGATTCTTGAAATTATTCAAATAGTGAAGCAATGATTGTCCATAGCCATATGCAATTGTAAATGTGTTGCCTATCTTTAATCAACATAGGAGGGGATACACAGAAAGAAAATACTTTACCTTCCCATACATCCCCTCATCCTGAAAATCCACTTCTTCCCATCCCTTCCTTATAAGAAAAAGGGTGGGGAGGTAAAGAACACTGAAATTAGGTCTCTGGGATGCACTCTCATCAGATAAAACACGGAATCTATCACTCTTAATTCGGCTTGGCTCTATCACTGTTAATTCATGTAATTTATGATTTTTCTGTGTATTTTCGCAAATAAATATTTGTTTGTTCATTACATTTTCTTATACTTTTTTATATATAATGTAGATGGTGATCTATATTCTTGGGGTGCAAATAGTTATGGACAATGTGGCTTGGGAAATATGACAAACAAGGAAACCACTCCACAACAGATTACATCATTGTTTGGTGTGCCTATAGCATTGGTGGCTTGTGGTAGTAACCACACATTTGTTTTATCTAAGTAAGTTTTGTTTTAGTGATAAACAATTATTAAGTGTTATTTTAAAAGAAAATTAAATAATTATGTTAGACATATTTTAACAGAATTCATTGATTCTACATTATTTCATTTACCTGATGTAAATATTTTTAGAGAAATTATCTTGGAAGAAAAGGAGTTTTCTTTCTTATGTGATTATTTTTTTATGAAATTCTTTTTGCCAAATAATAAAAAAAAAATAAACACAACAATATGTATTTTTTTGCTCAATACCAACAGTTTTTTTTTTTTTTACTTTTAGATCCGGTGCAGTTTTTGGTTGGGGTAAAAATAGCAATGGACAATTGGGCCTACAAGACAGGGAAAATAGATATTATCCTACACATTTGAAAACATTGAGAAATGTTAAGGTAATAATAAAATTCTTAACACATATTATTTTTAGAAACAAAAGAATAAAAGTAAGTGAAACAAGCAATGTGAATTTTCATTCTGGTTGTTTTAAGATAAATTATTTACAGATTGTGATGTGTATATTGTAAGTAGATTTAAAGTGAAAAGTGGATGTAAGTGTAAGGCTTCAATCATTTTGTTATACTCTGTAAAAAAAACTATTTGTGAATTATCTGTATGCGAAGTTGTTCTTTTGTCCTTTTACCGATGACCTTGATCTACACATGACTACCATTGTTGTTTTTGTTGCATGCAAATAGAATCGGATTGAATAAAAAGATGTAAACATTGTAGTTTGACATTGTTGATAAATTATCAAATTTTGCAAATCACTTTTCTATTATCTCCTTTGTAAAAGATAAAGATTTATAGATGGTATTCATATATGATTTTTTTTTCTTGTAGGTGTGTCATATATCATGCGGGGAAGATTTCACAGCATTTCTGACATTGGATGGAGGTGTGTTTACTTGCGGCTCGGGAGAGTATGGTCAGACTGGTCATGGAACCACCAGGGATGAGCTAGTTCCTAAGAAGGTATTAATTAAAAGTATGGAATGTTTCCCTAACTGCTTGTCTGATGAATAGCCAAGAACTAAGTCTAAACACACTTCGGATAAGAAGTACTCTTTCTCTTAATTTATATAATGTATGCAATACTTTATAGATTTTAAATCCCTCGATTACTTCATGCTAGGTGCTAGGTAAGCAGAGAGAGGTACAATCTTACCTCTTAATTATGTTATAAATCCAAATGTTTGGATGGATGGATGTTTGTTTGAAGGTATCTTTAGATTGACTACATGGATATTACTAAAATTCACATTGGATACTGATTAAGATTTTTATTCATTTCGCGCGGACGTAGTCGCGAGCAGCAACTAGTTTGATTCATATTCATTCTAAAGTATCATATAGTCAGGTTTATTATAATGATGTATTGGTTGTTTTAGGTGATGGAACTTATGGGTAGTACGGTGACGCAAGTAGCCAGCGGACGCCGTCACCTGCTGTGTGTGGTCGGGGACCGCATCCTGGCATGCGGGTATGGTGCGCGCGGTCAGCTCGGCTGCCCTCACATGACCTTCGCTTTGGCACCCACACCGGTACCCTTCACACCTAATGATGATTCACCGGTCAGTAATGGTATATACCATTGGTTTTTGAATTCTCTATATAAAACATATCATTATTATGTTTCTCAAAACAGAGATACCAGTATGTTTTTAAAGGGGATTTTTGTCTTAGAAACCCATGGTCAGTTGTTTAGACCTACTTAGAGTAGATTTAGGGAAAGGAATCCATACTAAGGAATGGAGAGACGAGAGTGTGTGTACGATAGTAAATTATTATGTGGTTTACCTGATGTTAATACATCAACCCCTTGGTATTGGTAGCCTTTATTTTGGAAACGAGGAAGGAATTAAGAAAATATTAGAGTAAGGAACTTTGTATTTAATATTGCTGAGTAACATATAATGAAGTATGTTTTCTTTTTCCCATGCAGACTGATAATATTGGACAAAGTAAGGTGAATAACAAATTAAATATTTTCTGTAGCAGTCAATGCTAATGGTATTTGTAATTAATTATTTTTCTCTATAGTGTCACAAAAATGCACGATCCTAAGTCTTTAGGTAGTTATTTAAACTGTTTAAAAACTAATATTAACTGCTTCTTATTTAGGCAATAGATAAATTTATGTTTATAGATAGTTGAATAAGTAGGAATGTTTAGGTTAAAAAAATATTTTAGGATCCAGTTGTAGTAGTAGTGCTAATAAAAACTCGATTTTTTTACTGCCTTTAAGCTTTGGGCTGTTTTTGTGGGATGCTGTCTAATTTCTATTAAATATTAAATTCATAAGGATTTAATAATAAAATGGTTAATAACGGATTGGTATCCTTTTCGTAGCCCCGGAAGAAATCCAAGATGGACAAGGCTAGGAGTTCTAGCAAAGGCAGCGGGCGGTTCTCTAAACTTGACGTTGAGTTTTTTCCATTTTTAATTCATTATTACGTAAATAATTTAAAGTAAAATTGTTAATGCTTGCATATTGATAAGTTTATGTTTTAATTTTACAATTATAAAATTATTATGCCCTAAGTTAAAAGACAGGCTAAATTATAATAATTATATGGTAATTTTTTTAGTTAATCAACATATTAGAGTGTGTATGTGTTGAATATAGGTTATATAAAAATGTGAGATATTATAGTACAAATTAGATAAAAAGCATGTGCTAGTATGGCTCCAGTATGATATAGGAACTTTATTTAGTCTAATTGCCTAATCTATATGTCCGTGTATGTCCATATATATAATTTTGAGGTATACTGTATGCATTTATTGTATTTCTTTGTCAACAGTTCATATCGGATATATTCAGTGGTCCAATAAAAGTGTTTGCGGGAGGTGACCACAGTTTTCTTATAATGAGCAACGATAAAACTCTGTCAGACTTTAGAGTGCCTGATGCTAAGAAACAGATACTAACCCTCACATTGCCGAGACTTGCTGCGTGTGAAATGTTCAAAGATGATGATACTGTCAATCAAGTAAGTGTTTTTTATTTATTGCTTAAAACATAATAATGGCTAAACCTGCCTTTTATATTCATGAAAATAAAAAGGTTCCCTATGAAAGGCGAAACACATTTTATGATCGACAAATTGTTCTCTTAATTTTGTTCAACTGACAGGAGGGCAAGGACATGTCTATGAGTGAGGATTTGATACTATGCCAAATTATCATCTTGATAAAGTACTTTTTCCGGAGAATTATATAGTTAAAGAATGTAGCTGAAATAATGTTAAAAAATCTCTAAATGTTTGCTAACATTTTGCAGGATTTGATGGCATATTTGGAGACAGTGTTTGGTTCACTGGCATGCATAAACGGTTCATTCCTGCAGGCGAACAGTGCTCACTACGGATGCAACACCAAAGTGCCCGGCGTCGATTTAAAGAGAGCACAAGAAGCGTTCACACTTATAAGCAGATTTGAAAATACATCTATAAAAAATCTTGTAAGTGTCTAATAAGTAAATAAAGATTCTTTGAATGTAATTTTAATGTGGTTTCGGTCACATAATTTGTCTTATTTATATTATAAATGTACATCTTTCGATGTATGTATGGATGGATAAATTAAAAGAAACTTATTTTACAGATTTTCGCTCACTTAACAGAGAATATAATAAAGAAAATGAAAGCATCACCACCTGACGCTGAGGTACTCCGAGTATTCTTGATAGTACCGCTATACCATGAGATGAGAAACCCACGTCGTCATCCTGAATTACAGGTACAGTCATTTTCAGATATCTTGACGGTTCTTAAGTTTGCTTGAGTCTATGCGCAGCACCTTGAGTCGCCAAGATATATGAAACGATTTTTACTTTTTATTGATATTGAAAAGAAAAGATTTTAACAAAACAATCTTAGTGTGAATATTATTTTTGGACTCGTATAATTTTATATTTATTGGTTTTTTGATTATGGCTAAGACGTTTTCTACTAAGCAAAATACGTCATCATGGTTTATAACATCAAGATTCCTGTCCGTATGTATGTATGATAAGGATTTTTTTTATTTTTCAGGGTCCTTTTGCAGAAGCATTTAATAAATTAGCTACGTACCCACAAAAGATCGTGCAATTGTGGTGGGAAGCGCAACCAACTGATTACTTTGAAATGCTCGTGGATATATTCAAGAGTGTTATTGTTTACGAATTACATAGTGTAGTGCGAGTTAATAAGGTATGATAAGGTTTATCATTTATTAAGTCCTTTAGGATTTAGCTTTTTATCTTTCGATAGTATATTATTTTAAAATGTTGATAAGGTCAAGGACATTTTTTGTTTTATAATACAAGATGTTATCTTCATATCAAAAATATGATGTAATTAGAATTTTAAATTGCATCACACATATTTTGCATTGATCTTTTTTTTACCCTTATATTTCTCTAGTTTAATGGCAAATTAAAGTCATAGGAAAACAAGACTTATTAAAACCTGATACAAAGCAGGTTAAATACATTTTGTTAAAAAAAGAAATGATATTGTTTTCAGAAATTATCGTTCACACACAGTATAGTGCAGATTTTGAATGCATTATCATTCTTGAATAAAATTAATTTCGTGAATCCAAAGAAACCCAAAATTCCAGCGGAATGTTTTTACATAGATGATCTGTGCGACTATGTGGACATCGCGACGGATTACATACATTGGCTTGCTGATCAAGATGTGAGTATATATTTATATTATGAAAGTAAATAACAAAGATCTCAAAAAAATCAAAAAACAATTCTCATATACCTATTAACGTTTTGCAGTCTTCACAACCGCATATGTGTAACTACGCGTTCTTATTCGACGTGCAATGCAAGTCTTTGCTATTGAAGATAGACCAGCAAGTGCAGATGCAGATGGCCATCAGCAGAGCGGCCACGCAGATACTGACACGCCTCTTCTTTGATCCCACCTTCGAGTACCAGAGGAACCAATTCCTGAACCTCACGGTCTCGAGGAATCATCTGGTGAGGGATACCATGATGCAGATCAGCAGCCATGATACCTCACAGCTCAAGAAACCGCTTAGAGTATGTATTGGTTTTTTTTCTTGCATAAAATTTGGTTTAGAATTTATCGCCTTTACAGTGCTCTGTAGTTGTGAAATTCTACAAAGAGAATGCAAGCAATAACTAGGCACAATCGACACTATATCAATTAGGAAGGATGATTAATCAGGGCTTGTTTCAGGTAGAATTCGTGGGTGAGGAGGCGGAGGACGCGGGCGGCGTGCGCAAGGAATTCTTCATGCTGCTGCTCAAGGAGATCTTCGACCCTGTCTACGGCATGTTCAAGCAGTCCGAGGAGACCAACATGATATGGTTCTCTAACAACCCCTTTGAAGATGACGTCATGTACTATTTGATTGGTAATTTTTTATTTATAGTTATGGTATCGCATATTACGTATAGTCCGACATTTTATGTAGTAAAAGGTCAATTTATGTCAAAATATTGAACGGAAATGTTTGATATCTTGATCAAACAAATTGTTTTGTTGGATACTTTACATGTTGGAGGGATAGATGGATGCTATTAAGTATTTTCAGAACAGATCAAGGGATTTTAATTAAATTTGATGTAGATGTGGTCTACATGAAGACGTAGGCTAATTATGTTTTTTTTTAATTCCGTGCTAACGAGGTCGAGAGCAAAAGCAAAACGATATGTTTACTGCATCGTAAAATTTCTTATACTAAATGTAATTAAAAAAAACACGTATTGTATGTTCCAGGTGCAATATATGGTCTAGCTATATATAATTCAATAATTATATACGTTCCGTTCCCATTGGTGTTGTACAAGAAGCTGCTCGGGGAGTCAGTTATGTTGGATGATCTGTCGGATTTGTATCCAACATTAGCCAACAGTTTGAGGAGTTTGTTAGAGTATCCAGATGAAGATGTTGAGGAGGTTCGTGTTATATTTCTTAATTACGTCGTATAACAAAGAAATATTTTGTCTATGGTTAAAATATTTAGGCTTATGTATTCTACAATATATGTAAAAGTTGATAAAGCTAATTAAATTACCTTAAATATTTCAGGTGTTCAGTTTATGTTTTGCGGTGAACACGATCGTGTTCGATGAGATTCAAGTGCACAATCTGAAGGAGAACGGCGAGAATATTCCTGTCACGCACGAGAACAAGGAGGAGTACGTAGAGTTGTACGTCGACTTTCTGCTCAACAAATCTGTGCTTAATCAGTTCAAAGCTTTTGATCAAGGATTCCAAAAGGTAAATATTTATTTTTTGCAATATACAAGATATATCTAAAATGAAAAACAAATTTATATCATATCGTTAGTTGAAATCATGATTTGATGTATAAACTCCGAAACTACTAATTTGAAGGAATGATAGTTTTATTGGAAATCAGGGCGCGTTTTTTTCTTTTCAAATATCTTGGTGGCTCAAGGTCATCTGCAAGTTGTGCAGTATTCTTCCCCGCTTCCCGCTACGACACACTACACCTAACATTGTGTTCCGCGCAACGACACGGCCGAATTAAAATCCGCCAAGATATCAGAAAACTGTAATATCTTTATAAAAATGTTGTTTGTTCCAGGTGTGCGGAGGTAGGATTATAAAGTTGTTCAGGTCGCACGAGCTGATGTCTGTGGTGATCGGCAATGAGGAGTACGACTGGGAAATGTTTGAGAACAATTGCGAATATAAAAATGGTTACACTTCTAGTGATCCACAGATTAGGTACATTTTTTCATTAATTAATTTTTACATTTTTTTTCTATTTTTTAATCATATGTAGTTCTTATATTTGACATTATTTGAATAAATTTTAGTGTTAATTTCATGATAATTTTTCGTGTGATGTTGGCAGTAGTGAAACTATAATTACTCGTATTGTGCTGTATTCAAGTAGATAGAAATATACCATAGTATTTTATTTACAGATGGTTCTGGGAGGTGTTCCACGAGCTATCTCTGGAGGACAAAAAGAAATTTCTGCTGTTCCTGACGGGCAGTGACCGCGTCCCCATACAGGGTATGAGGGATATCAAAGTAAGTATCTTAAACAAATACAATGAAATATTTGTATAAGAAAATTTCATCACTAAAATTTGTCTGACTTTTAACACTTCTTGTGTCTTTCCAGATCAGAATACAGCCGGTAGCAGACGAAAGGTTTTACCCAGTAGCGCACACATGCTTCAATCTTCTCGACTTACCGCGATACAACACCAAAGAAAGGCTAAAGTACTATCTCTTACAGGCCATACAACAGACGCAAGGCTTCTCCTTAGTGTGAACACACCATATAATAGTCCTATCGAATGTAATTCGATTACGAATTGGTTATTTTATTATGTTGTAGAAATCGTATTGAATCAAAAATAGGCAGTTTGGATGTTGAATTGACAATAAGATTTATAAATATTTTTTTAACTACAAATATAAATTCGCGACCCTATCAGTATGTTATTCAATTTCTGGGCACTATTGTAATGTACCCAGGATTTTTTTATTCTTATATGTATAGTCATGACTAGTTTACTTTTATTTTTATTGATACTACCTCGCGTTTACAAAATCAGAATAATTTGTATTTTGCAGTTTATCCGTCCGGTTTTCACACGTACAAATAAAGTGAAACTTTAAATCGCCTCAAATTATAAGGAGACAAGGATCTTGTGATCGTCAGAACATATCTGAACTAACAATTCATCTCGACAGAGTCGTTTGACCAATGAGTGAACGGCAGTTGCACGTTTTGGTGTTGCCATTTTCATAATAATAAAATTCCATAAAAATATCACGCACGATAACACATAGGTTAGTTTGCTAATTTGTTTGAATGTATCAATTTAAATTAGGAATTACTACGAGAACTTAGGTTATAAATTGCAAATCAATTGCTTGGGATTGCAATACAACTTTTGGTAGAATTTAGGAAATTTTTTGTCACTGGTAACCCTAAAAACTTTGCGCCCCTGTCAATGTCAAAAAACTGCCATAAGATCCTTGTGGCACCATAACATGAGATGATATCGCAATTACGCTCTGCAAAAATACTATTTTTGATTCTTTACGAACTAAATGATGTTTTGGAATGTTGACAAGTTGTACTAGGGACACACCTTTAGTGCGCGGTTAGTTTATAATAAAATAATATGGTGAGCCTCCACTGTCGTAGCATTTGTGTCATAACAATATTTCCTTCTCACTCATTTGCTGAAGAAGACAGAGACAACAATAATGTTCCTATACATGTGCTACGACAATTCACTATTAGATAAATTCTAAATTGATTTTATTTCGAAAATCACAATACACCTATAGATTTATAGGATGCCTGCAAGATAAACAGCTTTTTGTTACCATTAGTGTTTGGGAGTTCGGCTATTGTATGTGATCGTTGTTAATAAGGTAAAAAGATCAAAGTACATTTTAAATTATGTCAAAGATAAACCAGTTATATTGTTTTTTTTTTAAATTATGTTAAAGCTTAAAACTTATAGTTTTGAAATAATATGTGCCACTGGTTTTGTTATAACTTGATGCTTAACTTCAATTATGGTTAAAGTGTCCAAACTTTCATAACACATTATTATAAACTAAATAAAAATTACTATACAAATACACTTAATTTGGTGTCAGCACAGACTAGTTTTCACCCCACCAGGGACTCTAAAGAAGGGCCCTATGTCTAAAGAAGGGCCCTTCTTTAGATAGAAGCGGCTCGTAATGTACGAAAGTGTAGTAGTTATTATTTAATGTTTAAAAAACTGTTTGTGTTTATATTTGTATGTTTTCATCAAAAAATTACACATATGTGTTAAAGATAAACTGTCACTAGCTTTTCATAACCACAGCGAGAAATTTAAACTAGTCTATGAAATATAAGACAATAATACAGTAGTTTGGTATTTATAATTTTTTGTTCACGACATTTAAATTTATATTTAACATATAATTAAAACTGAACTTTATTCTATAAGAAATACGGCCTATAATGTGTGACGTGACAGTGGTCAATCTGTCGCTACAGTGGGCACAAATTTATGCATGATATTTTTTTAATAATACTCCGAAGAATAAATTATAATTGCTTAAAACCTTCTTTTGAAATTTAATGAATTTTATCTACATCTTCATATTATTTATTTTATAATGTATGTAAATTTTGTAAAATTTTTATCCCCATAGCTATATTATATTTTATATGCGTCATTTTAAAGTAATACATGCAAATATTTTGTATTGTTATGATTAACTATTACTCGTTGGTTTCTGAGACCGAAAACTCTGTATTAAACATATCATTATCCCTATCTTTGTCTTTGACAAAACAGAGATAACAATATGTTTTAAACTGATATTTTGGTCTCAGAAACCCACGTTTATTATCTCACATGGTAGAAAATTTTCTCGAAGTCTGATTTAATGTCTATGTACAATGTAGTTTCAAAATTAGTTAAAACTAATAAAAAAATATTATATGCAATCTATTTTGAAGAAATAAATTTATCGGATTTCTTTATTTAATTGTATTATATTGTTTTTATTGCAATTTGTTTAACTTTTCTTTTATTTAGATTTTTAATAACAGAAGCTTTTAATTCATAATCAGAATTTGTCATTGTTGTTTGTTGTATAAATGATGTTTAAAGAAAGATATTTTTGTAACGGTAATTAATTTTATTTTATTCTATTGTTTATAATCTGCATTTATTGATATCAACATTTAAGCGAGAAATGACAGGAAAAACTTAAGAAGTGCAATGCTGGCTTGTTTTTGGGTGAATATTTATTTGACGATTCTTAAGAAATAACATTAATATTCTAAATAAAACTTTATAACAATGTTTTAATTACGGCTGATTTGGGTATTTTTGTTTGATTTTTATAAAAGTTGCAGGTTAAGTTGACACTACATAAATATATTGTATAAAATTGTAAAATATTTGATATTGACACTAATCAATTTCTGAGCGTTAAAGTTATGATATCTGAATGTCATAAATAGTGTACATTTTAAATGTGTTTAACAATTTATTGCTCAAATTACCAGTCCCTTGTATTCGGTTTTCAATAAAAAAAGCGATTGTAAAATAGTGCATGGGCAATTTGCCCTTACAGAATATCTAGGGAATTAATATTGTTCCTTTTTAGCTGACTTCAAAATGAAAGAGGTTATAATTTCATCTGTATTTTTTATGATGTAGCCATTGTCGTGTCTGTATGTTACACTGTGATACCATAATCCTCCCGCTTCAGATGAGCTTGTTGACAATGCATAAATCGACACTTATGACGTAAAGAGTTATATCTCATATAAGATGTAACTCTTTTCTTGGAATGTGTCGATATCGTTATAGGAGTTGTTCGACATGTACAAACACTGCGTAGCATTGCTAGTTGTCTGTTGTAATTGTAAAGCATTTATACGTGCACCCGACTCCGTGCTCTGGTGTGGTTTGTACGCGACGTTATGTATGATATTAAAATATTTTTGTAAATATTTTTTTTGTTTTTTTTTGTCCTATAAAATATCATAAGACATAGCTAAATCGCCGGCTAATCGTTTGCAGATTCCTTTATTGCCATTTTCAGTAAAAGTGCTAAAATAAATTTTAAACGAATAAGTTTTGGGATCAAAAAATCACAAATTTACATTTCCGACGACTTTTTCAAAAACGGTTTCCTATGTTCTACATTTTATAATAATTTATGTACTGTTTTCAAAGTCTCTGCCTGTTGGCAAAATAATAGTAATAAAAAGTTTTTCATGTTTGTTCCAAAATAGATTTCAAACAACTCCCCGCAGAAAATTTCGAGGGTCAATATGTTGAAATTATAAGAGATGACAGGTGCGATAACTATTATTATAAATAACAATTCTATCTTGGACCAATTCCAAGGAATAAGAAATATCGGGAACAAACGAAGACGTCTGACGTCTTTACGGAGGATTGCTTACGTATGACAACTGAATTTATACAGTTTCCACATAGATATTATAAGGCATATATACGCAAGATTTTTTTTAATATGCTTAATACGATTGATAAAGATTTGACCGGTAAATCGGTTTTCAAATCGTAGTGCGCACTAGCAACTTAGCAGATTTCTACTTAACATTGTTTAGATTGTGGTCAAACATTGGATTGTTCATAAAAAGATCTAGATTTTGTTCCAACATGTCACATATGGAAAGCATAATTTGCGGTCGTTTTCTTTCCAGTTAGATAGTTAATCTAACATTCTAGGTTCACTGGTTATCTTGATAACATACAAACACTAATAATAAACAGGTTTGTGCGGTTGCCGTTAGACAGACTGCTACGGTATCGTCCCATTTTGAGATCTCTGTCCCAGTAGTTTGTATTGCCATCTTTAGAATGTATATCAGGCAATGATAGTTCCGGAGGTCGAGTCCTAATTAATCAGCTTGGTGCTTTTATAACATCCATATATGTCCTGTTCTCAGTAACGTTCCCGTAACATTAAAATAAATATCATGGTATTGCTTGAAGGGAAAATTTGGTACCCATTTTAGATAACTTCAAGTACGATATTTGATGATGCTATTTTTAATATAATTAAATTCCAGCTTGATACAGTCACGCGTTTTTGAGAAAAAGGGTCTTGACAGACGGACGGACGGGCAACAGAGTGACGGACAAAAATTAAATAAAATGACTGATACGCGATCAGGTATTAATATTATTTGTAAGGGATTGACGATGAACTAGGTTATGGAAAGAAATGTAACGTAATTAATTTAAAAGTTAAATAAAAATTGTATGTAGTTTATAGAATTTTTTATTTCATTAGAATATAAATAACACAATGAAATAGAAAAATTAACATTTTATATACAAAATATACGTGATCTCTTCGTGACTAGTTTTATATTTAATTTATGCTTAGTTACAATTAATTTTTTTGTCACTTGAATAATTGTTAATAATAGCTTTGGTTGTTTACAAATTTGTACGCTTTTATCCAATAGCGCAGCAATTGAGCTTTATTTACATAATAATATTGTTAAAAGCGTTAAAAAGCCTTTTATTTAAAATCGAAACTTAGCCGCATATTGTTTCTTAAATAATATAATGCATATTCAACATATATAAATGATTTCGTAAAGGTTTAAAGCATGATTTATATTTTTATATATTTTTTTAAATTATAATCCTTACAAACTACATAATGATTACCGCGTAAATAAATTAACATTAAAATTAAGCACTGATAACGTTTGTATGGCTGTAATAAACATGTTTTGTGCATGTTTATATGTAGATATGTAAAACAGTATTAAAACATATTTTGTACTAATCCTAACAGACTATACGTTGCTAGGAATAGGTTATTACCAATATGTTTATTACTCTGAATTTTATCAAAGAATCAGTGCTTAATTTTTATTTTAAGTACTTAGTTTGAGGCTAAGACTTTATCGAGTAAAGTCTACACAAGTACTTACTCTGGCGTCCCCTACCCTGATATCTAAACATTTTGTGACATAAGATGCTGATTCCTCATTTATAACATCCGAGCACTTACCCCCTATGTTTTAAGACACTTACGTGCAACGGATTTATGCATGTAGCTAAAGAAAATGATCCTTTGGAATATTGACATTATTTATGTTCTATATAATCGAATCTATTGAGTGAAATCAGGTGACTCTAGTATTCTAAGATCTTATTTTAGTATGAAGATCGGCCAGAATGGTCCTCAAAGTGTTGAGTGCCAGGGGGCGCGCGGTAGCCAGGGTAGTTGTTGTTGAGAGCGTGCTTTGCGAAGAAGCCAGAGTAATCCCTGTTTACCTGTAACATAAGGTTCAAATTAGCTTGTCCAATTACAACACAATCACATTTACTAGAACTGTTTACTACACCTCTACAACGCACAATCAAGCCTTTCACAGCGAAGCTAGTAGAGAGAAATAGGTGACACTTTTAAGACGTACACGGATGTGATTTAGTCAATTACGTGATGTCATGGTACTAGAATTGAGCGAAGCCTAATTCTAAACGCGTTAGGTGGTTGCTACTACATAGAGTACTAATCGTGTACCGTTGATCTTATTCATAAAGGCATGTAGTACTGAAGGTAGCCATATTGGTCCGTGACAAAAGTATTCGTCGATTTTTAAAAACATCGATTCATGAGATGAGCAAGATTGCGTCTTTGTAGCCTATATGGAAAATCTTTTGCATTTATTCAACCATTTAGTAAGCCTAACAAAAATAGTCCTTATAGTATAAGTAATTAAATTCCTCCTAATAATGGTAGAGACGGAAAAACGAAATTGCGGTAATATCTTGCACAGATCCAAACTTCGACGTAAGCAAAGTTTACATGTATGTGAAATTGGCTACTATAACTATATTTTTTTTATATTTGTGCACAAAAACTATCTCCAATAATACATGCCGAAAAAGTATATTTTTAAACTAAGTTAATAGAAGAGATTGTGTCACACTATGTCCGAAGAAGCTTCACTTACAAATCGATTAAAATCCGGACCGAACCGAACGAGTCGGTACGACGGACTTACACCTCCCTCATGGCAATTAATTCAGCAAGCGAATATTGCCGCGGCTAAAACAGACAACGGTTGCACTCAGGATGGGGAATGAGGGCTTGTTATTTATGTTTGATGCTCGAGGTTGTAAGTAATGTATTTGTGTTAAGAATTATACATTTACCTACTCCGAAAACAAATTTAGAATCACTTTATCAAAAAAGTGATCAAGTAATGCGTTTAGGAGTCTGATAAGAGCCTATCGTAAACTTAATAGTAATACGTGATAACGTAACTTAATACGTGATACTCACATTTAAATTGTCAAAAAAAAATAGCTGTAATAATAATGTTTATCTGACATCGATTTAAAAAAAATCTGCGGGGGCAAAACATTGTTAATTTAAAAGCGATATAATAATGGAATGTAAGAATTGGCAATGTACAGAGCAAAATATGTCATAGTTGTTCATATGACTAATCTGTCAAATATAATCTGTGAAGGTTACCTTGCGCGGTCTGCAAGCTGGTCCTTTGGCCAGCATCATTCTCGCTTCGTTCTCAGCTGCGACGGCCTCCTTCACCGACTGCGGCGGCCACTTTTGATCTCCACGCATGTTTACACCTCCTGGTAAGATTAATACATTGATTGAGTTTAGAATATCGTATTTAATTTGTAATCTTATTGTCGTTGGAATTTGTAATTATTTGTAATGTAATCAAGCATTTCCACTGCCGAATGATTTTAAAACATGTCGTCGTGTCATCCCTTTCAGAATATATTTCAAGAAGCATAGATAATGATTGTACGGATTCCCGCCAATGGAAGCAGACTCTAATGATTTGTAAACACATATTTATATTTAGCAATCCGCACAAGTTAAAACAGAAGTTCTAATAAGACGTAGCTTTCTACGATATATCCTATGTTGCGGTTATCCGTAGCCCGTATATTTAAACCACAATCAACCTAGTTATATTATTAGAAAGTGGAAATAAACAACAATGGATATCATAAAATTACGTAGGTATTAATAAGTTGAATAATCATTTTATATTATCATAAAAAAATTAAACTTTTAATATTGTAAAGTAATTTCTACGCGTTATATGAACACTTTACGAGTTTTAGCAGGTGTATGAAAGCTTTTACGTGTTCTAACACTTCTTCTAAAGCGACACTGCGACGTATAAACACACAATCTTAATAAAACAATATACTGACAATCCCGTATCTTACATTGTGATGTAGCTTTAAAGATTTTTATGGAGTTAATATAGCCCCTCTATACATTACGTAGATCACACCTGTATCTTACTTTACGAAGAAATGTACTATACAAGATTTTTATTTGTTCACTAGCTGTCGCCCGAGACTCTATCGGCGCGGATTAAAAAAAAACCTTTATAAGTAGCCTATGTGTTCTTTCGGACTATGTTATTTATTCATGTCAAATTTCATCGAGATCCGTCAAGCCGTTCTGGAGACACCTTTTAACAAACATCCATCCATCCATCTAAACATTTGAATTTACAATATTAGTTAGAAATAGGATTACCTCTTACTATGAAAAATGACAATAACTAAAAAGGTTGAGATGAAGTGACAAATAATGTAGTTTTTCGGATGACGAAAACCTGATGTATTGAACGCATAGAGAGGATAAGGACCGGGAGCTTATGACATTACCTTTAAAAGAAGCTGTAGCAGGTTGGCTGGGGAAGACCGGGGGTGGCTTCTGGTGGACTGGCTGCTGTTGGCGCAGAGTGATGGTGGACGGCGGTGGTTCGAACTGCTTCTGCGGGGGCTGATACTGAGGCGGCTGGTATTGTGGCTCCGAGTACTGCGACTGTGGCGAATACTGCGGCTGCCCCGTGTACTGTGGCTGAAGGTCAGTAAGTAAAACCATGTGATGTTTGCTTTATGGTAATTACATGTCGTGTTATAGGAGCCTGGCCCTTTTTATAAGGATTTCTAAGCCATATAAGCAACTTAGTAGCTTATAAACTGAAGCACTAAAACTTGTTAAATATTTATTATACTTAAATAATCTCCTAGTGTCCTTCACTGAGGTACGTCCTTAGTAGCCATTTAACGACAATGCGACAGTTACTGCATAAGTTAATGACAGCAATAGCGTACAATAATTATAAATTCCATTTTTTTTCGATTCAACTTAATTTGCGTTTAGTACAATTCAATCAGTAGTCATTTGGATATATTCCAAAGTCCTAAATACACGACAAAGTAGAATAACAAATATTGTATTAATAAAATTTGTGATGCAAATCCAAAATGCACACAACTTGATATTATCGCTATCAAGCCTTAATGTCGCGAAGCGTTATAAAGCAGCGTATAAAAATGTAAAAATGAATTACATAAGAATACGCTTACATACCACTGCAGGTCGAGTAAAAAAAACTAGCTAGTACCCTATAGTGCCGTTAATATCAGCCAATACATGACAAAACATGGATTAATTCTGGTTATTACATGTTAAATCAGTAAACGTATCCAAGTATGACAAATGACACGACATACGCTGACGACGATGCATTCTCTTTCCAAAGAGTACCTGTGGAGAAGTAGGAGCGGGCACCGGGGCCCAGCGGCTGTTCTGTTGACTGTAGGGCTTCGGCGAAGGCGGGCCCTTTCGGTAGGGGGCTACGGGAGAGGCGCCAGGTCCAACCGGGATCAGCTTACTCAGCCCAGTCGATTGCTGTCGCTTGCCTTCACAGTACGCTGGCGACTGCGTCTGGTACTGAGGCTGCGGTTGGTACTGGGGCTGGGATTGATACTGGGGCTCCGGTTGATACTGGGGTTGGGGTTGATATTGGGGTTGAGGGGACAGGTAAGGGGATTGAGGCTGGGGCTGTGCTTGGGGCTGAGCCGAGGGTGAGTACTGTGCCTGTTGCGATGGAGAGTGCTGAGCGTTGTTGTAGAACGCAGGGCTCTGCTGTGGGTACAATGTTGTAACTAATTGGGGCTATTCATAAATCACGTAGAGGCATGTAATGCTTTTAAGGCGGTTTTTTTATGTATCTTATTGAACCAAACTTTTAAAAGGTAAAAATTTAACCGCTGCATATTATTCAGAAATATACATTTGTGTGAATTGCAAATAACCCCTTTTTCATCTTTGTTATTCAGGAACTTATGAACATTTATTTAATATTTTATGTTGAAAACCTTTACTTTCATATCTATGTCATCGGATACAAGAGTAAAAATGAAACAAAAGTCAATTCCTTTGTGCTAACTAACGTTAAATAGTGAATTTTCAACGTAAAACGTACCGAAAACTTAACAAAACAATCTTTATTGCTCCAAAAAAAATATGCTAATTTTAAAAATTGTTCACACTTAAGCACATTTACAACACTGTTTTTAAATTTTCTATTTAAAGAAAAGCTCAAAGCAAGCGCGAAAAGACACTTATCATAAAAGCAAATAATATTAAATAATTGTTCAGAACGTTCCCGCTTTGCGAAAGATAATCGCAATAATTCGCAAGCTCTATTAACCATAATATTGGATTTCATGCAATTACTGTGCTCCTGCCACCTCTAAGCTTTAATGGCTATGTGCAGCTTTTTCATGGTTCGTTATATACACATATACATGGGGTCTAAACTTTCTCACTTGGCTTAACATAAATTATGTTGTTACCTGTTGGGTCTGATGGTAGCCGTTGGTTTCTGGCACCGGTGGCCAAACGACTTTCTTCTGACCTAAAAGAAAAAAAAACTATTAACATTGATAAACAATAGATTCCACAAACCTGATTGATTAATTTTAATTAATTTGATTAACAAATTTTAATTTTAATTTTTTGATGGATTTGAGAGTAACGTTCTATTGGATTTTTTTTTAAATGTCTGCAATTTTAAACTATATGCAACATCCATGATTTCTAAGAGCTTAAAATATGTCACAAGCTCTTCTCTAGTTCATTAACCCATCCGAATATCACATCAATGTTAGTCTTTTTTTTAATTCAATAAGTTAGCGCTTGTCCACGATCCTATCTGATGTTAAGTGATGATGAGATCGAAAGATGGTACGCTCTAGTTTAATTAATATTTATATAATCTACTCTTGAAGGCTCCTACTTCTTACTTGGTCGTTATCGTCAACAATAGCTTTGTCCGTGGTAATAAATCTATCCACGTTATAATTACACTTCAATTCATTGTATCATAGGATCACACTTATTCGTGATCAGGTCAGTGTTAAAGAATAACTTTTTAAACTTAGCAGGGGTACAAATAAAAATATGTAATCTATTTATATCTGTACATAAAAATAAAATGTGAGGCAAAGAAAACTTGTAAATGTCATTATTTAAATTTCAAGAACGTAATCTGCCATATCCATCACCACATCAAATGTCTCAGACCACACATATCTATGTTCAACATTTTGTTATACACATTTTGACACATTCTGCTTCAAATTAGATGTAACGATACCCATTGGATCACAGCCAAAAAGTCGACGAAAAAATATAGTTTTCATAGAATTGTGAACTGAATTTATCACACACATGCGTATATTAATCTCGGATCTATCGTTGCTGGCCAAATAAAATTTAAATTAAAAAAAAAAATCGTCTACTTCATGAAATATTTTCCTGGGTCCTGGTGCGTTTCATTGGAGATCCCGGGAATCTCGTCGTCGTACTTAAAATTGGCTACCGAAGGGTTTTAGTAAATAGAAATCACTTTTAAAAAATAAGCTAAACTCGATTAATTAAAGATAGATGTTGGAAGTAGACTACAGAATTCGTTCGAAAGTGTTGTCTGGATGGAGGCAAGCTCACATGACAAGAAATTTTGGAGTCTATTATACTATGTTTTAATTCATGCTCTGTGTAGAAGCACTTTATTTTTTGTTTTATAAATTATAATTATAGTAATGAAGATGTATTGATAAACATGTATCTGAGAAAGCTCAAGAACAATCTAAATTGGCAAACGTCCACTGAGTAGCATAGCATTGAAAGCAATGACAATAATAATTAAGTGTTTTATGTCTATTCTAATATTGTACAAGAGTGCCTATGGTAATATGAATGTGTACCTTACGACTGCTATCGCTGGAGACTACGTTACGTTTAGTCGGTTCAGTGTCAGGATGACTTGTGACCAGTTGGCTTGTGCCAGGTGTGTAGGTGCGAAACAACCGCATATTATTTTGAGAGTTTAAGACCCCTTTTCCACTAGTTGTGACTAGCAGCCTCACTTTGGTCGTATGTCGCATTTCTATATTATGATATCCCTAGGCTACGATTATCATAGTATAGCCGTCGTGCACTGCCAATCGCTTAGTGGAAAAGGGTATTAAGGGTAACTATCGCGGACTCTTTCTAGCGTGTTCGTTTGTTGTATGACACATCAGACCGTGACTTTTGATATGTGACGTGTTCGCGTTTGAAATAGATACGAGAGACGAGATTATTGCCATCTTAGTTATGAAATAGATGTCCATTTTTTCTATAATTATATCAGTACTTTTAAGAGTTCTGACCGAAGCTAGCAGTTAAGTTTTTGGGTTTATTACAAAAATATATATTTACTATTAACAATTTGTTCCCTTCCTCGCAGATGTACATCATATAGATAGACATTAAGCTCTCAGCAAATCACGTTTTTCAATATTTTTGATCCTAATTATTACTTTACTTTATGCGGATAGTTTCACCAACCTTTACTAAGGGTGTTCCAAATGTACGTACTACAATACGAACCGGTGTATTATTATTGTTAGCGTGTTTTGGGACATGGCCACAATTATCAACAAATCATTAGCCGTGTCAGTGAGTTGAATATAAATTAGACATAATTACCATGAAGCTAATTGTTGTGTGTAGAAAAACTGGCAACTTTGGCTTTGGCGGATTTGATTCATGGCTGTTTTCATAGCTTGTCATAATAATTATTTATTTAAATAAAAGATAAGCAATAAGCTCTTAAAATATAAATTGCTGCATTATTAAAGACTAGCTGTCGCCCGTGATCAATCCGTGCGGAATTAAAAAATCTTAATTAGTAGCCTTTGTGTTCTTTCAGACTATGTTCTACATCTATGCCAAATTTCAGCGTGATCTATGCAGCCGTTCTGGGGATTCCTACAGACAAACATCCATCCAAACATTTGCATTTATAATATTAGTAAGAAGTAAGATAGTATATTGATATTTACAAATAGTTAATTAGTGCATTTGTGCTAATATCAGGTGTACTAAGAGCAAAATGTGTACGTATTAATTGTGTTCAAATAAGTGCTTAAAATTAATGTTAAGATATTACAATACGAATACATATTTCTTTGTTACCCACTGCAGTAGTTCCATTATACTTTTCTACGATTATTTCGATATCTATACTGATAGTCGCAAACATTCTTCATGAGTATTTTAAAGCGCATTTACTACTGCTAGATAAGAGAGTGTTCGCGGTTCTGAATACTTTCGTACGTCTGCACTTCGCATGGATAATATTAGTCGGGTTGAATCATCGCGACTAGCGATTGTGGAATACCGAAATAGTTACTGCTTGCAAAAAAATGGTTATTATTCTTAGAATAACACGTATTCGTAGATATAAATAATATATGAATATTAATATTTCTTTTATAACGTGTCTATTTAAGATATATTAGTTTGACAATTCACTAGAGATGGGTTGAGTAAAATCGATTAAGATTTTTTTCGATATTCCATGGTTGTTCTCAAAGAACTTGCAATCGAAAATTTCGGGGAACGGAGTCGTGGACGACAGCTAGTAGGTTATAATTAACATCACTTGTATTTATTTGCACAATAATATGTGCATATAAAAAGTGTAGAAGTCTTAAAGTGATAATAGAAAATTGTGTGTAATAATCGATAGACGCTTATTCAGTAAATGACGTAAACTACTAATGTATTACAATGTTAGTGTGCAGAATTTTCATAATAACGATTAAAACTCGTCTTTCATATTGAAATTGTAAATAAGAAGAGTTATTTCATCAGATCCTTACATTTGCGTTGACCTACATTCTAAAAGTAACGTCCTAAGTTTATACACAGACATCCTTCGCGAGGTTACACTGAGTATGAGCGAACATCTGAACATCATCCGATGATGAGTCAAACAAAATGATACAAACATGTGGCACAGGGGTTGGAGTTACTAGGTTATTTGCTTAATGTTAGATTAAATTCTCACTGTCAATAATTTTAGACATTAATTATAAGCCTTTGGCGCGTATGGTGCGCTTTCATTACAAAGTCCAGTTTCAGAATGATTAGTGAGGGGACATAGACGTCGATATTTTAGTATGGCTAGTGTTGTGCCAGTACACCGGCACACTGTCGGATTTTCTTTCTAACAATAACAAGATCCAAAATCTTTTCTGTAAAGTCTTAAAAATCACAAACCTTATAAAAATGTTAAATTAATTAAACGAAGTAAATATCCACTTAAATCTAAAATATATGTATCACTGTCAGTAGTCTTAAATGTTTGCCAAAAACTTTCATTAATGAGGGATTAGCTCCATCTGTCCGGATGGTCATGACAATAATGACACATGATGTTAGAATTTACTAATATTTTGTAACATTTACACGTAATACGTAACACTCAAAACTATTATATAAAAACCATTATATAAATTATGTAAAGTCTATAATTTCAAACCAATGCGTAAACTTTTGGATTACACTACACCGACTGACATTATGAGTGCATCTATCTACTTCGCTGCATAATGATTAACTAAGTCTACTGGTGCCCAATCCAGTACCTTTAGTAGCCTTCAAGCAATCAGAATATATGTGACCGGTGGTATCTAGCAAGTGCCATCCCCGTCGGACTGAATCCTCTTTGCGCGGTGGCCACGAGCTGTCAAAACGACGCCGTGCCAGGACCAAATTGTCCATTATTGCTTGGATTTGCGTCGGATCTAACTCTGGCGAAGCAATGCAAGTTAATCGGCGTTAATTAAGCTTTGGATTTATCCATCAATATTTTTAGTACGAAATTTGAATAGCAAGGTCGGATTCGAATCCGATATACGATTTCTTTAAACTATTGCTTGAAATGGTTTATAATAATTACGTTAGTGAATTATTTACAGCTTGGTATAATTTTTAACAAACCAAACAGACTTTTGAATAACAGTTACTGTTTCTTCTAAATAAGTAATCAATTATAATATAAAATGTCTTACTAGGAAGTCCCTTGCGGTTGCGCTCTTCTTCCTCAAGCATGCGCAGAACGGCCGAGTTGGCGAGGTTGGCTGGCTTGTTGGCGCCTGGGTTGTTGAAGTCGATCCTATAACAAAATAACTTATTTAATAAAATATTTTTTATTTATGATTATAACAACTGCCGTCAAGTTACTCCTGACGTATGATGTTCCTATTTTATTTAAAAGGATTTACAAGTTAGCTATTTAAAAATTAATTAGGTAAATAATAGAACTGTCTGTCGTGACACAAGTTCTGGTATGAATTTTTGTTTGCGTGTATAATATCTATATCTATGATCAACATTCTTCATCCGAAGAAAAAATCCCGCGCAAATGCGCGGAAAGCGTTGCGCAAATTATTATCAACAACAAGAAAATAACTACTATTATATAATTTATAATAAGAACTATTTAGGTAGTTGAAATGTTGAAAAACATTATTATGTGTTACTTGACGCCTTTTAAGTTAAAGTTAACCTCAATAATCCTTCTTTGGCAAGTTATCGTGACTCAATGTTAAACAACAAGTTCTCTATTAAATCTCGAAGGTAAACAATATAAAAACTTGTACGAAGTTAACGAAATAATACATTGCAATAACAACTATATAGCTTTGTAATTACGGTTGATTTTCTTTTGTAATTAGCAGTCGAAATGTAATTTGTTTTAAAGTTCAGCCGCGTATTTACAATGTGACAACGTTGGCATGTATTGACAGTAACATTTGCTCTTTCTGTCAATCAGTTGTCATTAGTCACTATTACTAAGAAGAACTGTTTGAGAGTCTCCAATCTAATCACTATTAATTATTTCAAACAGTATATTGTATTGCATTAATGAGAAATTTAATAGACGTTTTTTTTAAATTATTTTAGTTACTTACGTATATTCAAGTTACAGTTGAAGCATATGCAGACATTTTCATTCATCTTATTTCTTACTAATAAATGCGAATGTATAGATGGATGGGTCTCGCTAAAATTTAGCATAAATGTATAACTTAATCTGGAGGATCACATAGGCTACTAATTCAGTATTTTTATACCAAGTGGCTGGGAGCACGAGCTACAGGTATATTTTAATATATTTTTGAAAAAGCGCCAGGATTTTTATAACGAATATTAATCAGTTCAGAAATATCAGATAATTTGGCTTCTTATTCAATATTGCCTTCTTAAAAATACAAAGTTCCACAACGGAAATAATGGTTTAATAGAATAATAGTGAAAGTTGCGAGTGCTTTCTTGCATAGTCTGTTGGTGCAATGATCAATTATTTACCGGTTTACTAATACTATCAAATACTATCTACAACCTTCGGCGTTGTGAACGCTAGTGTACTGTTTATAAGAAATTATAATCGATACACAATTAAAAGCCGATGTGGTGGTGTCCGGTATTATAAACATCTATGTTACCGATAAAATGTTACATACGGTATTCTATAAAATGTCTGAACTTCTTATCAAAGTTTTAAAATACCACCGTTTGATTTTTAAATCAATTTTTAATTTTACATGTATCAAGTAGATATGCTATAGAAATCGAAATAAAATAAAAAAAACATTTAGAAAATAACACATCCTCATAAATATACCGAGAATTACAGGCAATGTATCAGTACGAGCAATCTATACAAGCAGTTGTATTCTTAAATCAGATACAACTGCTTAGACTATACTATTGTAAATCTATTAAACTCACAATACAAAGTAGAAAGTGATGGAAACTTACTCATTGTTTTCATCGACAATCTCCATTTTCCACGACACGAACAAAACAACAATAGGTATTTTTTTTATTTACACTTTCGTACGTACTGACAAATTTTTATTTTTAAATATAACGCATGCGTTTTTGAGTGTGTGCCAGAGTTATATTCAAAGATCTTTTATTGCCTGTGATTAATTATTTTAATGACTTATTCCTGAATCATTAAGATACAATGGCATCATTATTATTATAATTTTAATGATTAGAATTTAAAATAAAACGACTGAGATAATTCGATCGATAGACATTTTTATTATCAATCTATCTTTTTGATTCAGTTATTTTAACATCATATGCGTCGTGCAGTCGATTGAAAAGCTAATAAAACTTCTGAAGAAAGAAAAATTGGAACGCGTTAGCAAATTGTTTTTGAAGAAATACGGCACATTACATGACTTACAAATAAATTGTTTTTCTTTAATCTATTTTTATTGGCAGTTTTAAAAGTGACGAAAAATATGAATGATATTTTTTCTAAAAACAAAAATCTTATATTTAACACGCACTCTATTTAATAACACTAAACAACTTCGTTTTTAAATAACTTTATAATAACTTATTAACCGATCACTTTTTTTTTACAATAAATGTCATAAAAGACAGTTTAGTTATTCGGTAGGCGACAGCCTGCGCACGCGCCACGGTTACACTGTGGCCGGTGCGAGCTGGCCGCGCTAGATCTCTTCTTACTATACCTGTTTGACTTTACATGTCATGGATATTGGTCACCCATAACAGAAGACATGTATTGATGAAGGATAACGTCTCCAAGAAATGTTTAAAGATTACCTTAGTAAAAGTTGTTGGTAATTTTTACACCAGGAATTCGTATAACGTCTAGTCTTAACACAAAACATGTATGTATTTATTATGTTCATATTAATAGTAATACGGTTAATATAGTATGAGTAATAATCCTTCATAAAACAAAAATTACCGAAAGACATAACTAAGTTAAATACAGAATTTCAAATGTAGAATGTAAACTTCTATGTATTGATTTTACCAAATTCCTTCTCAAAGCTCTCTAATTTGTTTTGTATAAAATCAGGGTTATCATAATATTCAGTCCATATAATTTATGTGTGCTGTGTCAGAGCGGTATGCATGCGATGTGGCGCGATGCTAAATTTTATGTATTCAAAATGTCAGCGGCCGTTGAGATACTGCCTCTTCATAATTATGACGGTAAACACAAATAATCACTGACACATTGTTGCTATTAAAAACTCTTTTTACAATTAAAACAATCTAGCAAAGATGTTTGATTTTTAATCCAAATGTGAAAATTAAAAAAAATCTGTCATAAAAGAAGGCACAGGATAAACAATAGAATAAGCATCCACAACAATTAAAATGTAACAATTAATTAATCATTGTCAACACTTAAGAAGATCTAAAATCGTTATAATTAAATATAATTAAATTTTAAATACAAAGACATGAACAATGAGGAACAGATATGATTATTTATTTTTTAACAAAAGTGGAAAACTTACTAGAAATTTAAATGTGACTATTGTATTCACTAACAAGATGGTTGCACGAACTGTGTTTCACAAATACTGAGTCAATCCGTGCATAGCTTAACGTCCCGAGTACTGCGACACGGTTTTGCATTTCGTTTTTCATTGCTGTAATTTTGGCTTGCATCTTACAACCGAATATAGCTTCAATCATTTATCGCATGTTTACTTTGTACTTAGTGAGATCATTGTTTATCTCACGACATCAATCAATGTATTTTAATCTCGCATTTATTTTAGCCAAACGTGAATTGTTCGACCACCTAATTATCTTATTTTTCATCAATCTATAATTATATGTGTATTTTACAGAAATTAAATAAAAAAATCTGTACATGAATTGAAAAAGTATTTGTTTTAAAGTGTACCCACCTTGTGAAAGGTCTTTCAAACTGTTCTTTTAGAATACTTCGAACTTGTTTATCTCGTAATAAATTTAACAGCAAATTATTGGAATCGAAAAAAAGTATCCAAGTTTATAAGATGAAAGAGAAAGCTCCAAAACATCAAGTCGTGGCTTTTATGTGAGTATTACCGCTTCATTAGATAACCTTTTAAGTTTTTTATTTGCCTTTCTTAACATTACACACTTTGTAAGAATCTAATTTACTTTTTAACTTATATATTTCGTGTAGTTACTTTACTAAGCAAAGATAACCTGACAAATTTTATAGAGCAATAGTCTTTGATTTGAACATTTGCAATCACTTTTATATCACGTACAAAAATACGGTGAGAGAATGTAAATAAAGTATATTTAACTAAAATTTATACTGTTATTTATATTTGTGTTGTATTATAACAAACATGAATCACTAAATGGAAAATCTCTGTAAAATTCCACTGTCGTAATAATATGAATTGTTTTTACGATTCTTTCGACAAATGAACCCCATATTAATTAGATAAAATCTGGATGACCTCTTTTTTTGGATGACCGCTTTGCTCAGTATTTTTTTTTAATTGTGTTTCATGGAAATTATATTTAAGTACGAATTACTAATAAAATGATGAAATATGAATAATACTTTTCGATCTTACCGATAGAAAAAGTTAAGTTTATGTTTAAGTTGATTATCGATAAAACACGAATAAAATGACATCGACAAAATCGTTGAAGCCGATTTCGAGTTTCCAATTATATATATACAAGAATTGCTCATTTAAAGATATAAGATATTCTCTATATTCTGAATAGAGAAATATAGTTATCATTCACAGAATTATGTTAAGTCTAATTGCCAATCAGCCTTTGAAATTGACTAGATATTATCCAATTATCATATTTATGATAATAATCAAAGCACGGCTATGTAATAACACTAGACGAGGGTCTCAAATACCAGACACTAAAGTTATACAGCAATACAATACAAGAACATCAAATCGTTAAAGTTTGACGTTTGTACATAAACTATCCTTTAAATATGTAAACATATTTAGTAAGTTCTGAAGTAAAACGAGAACAATCTGGAATTTTTAATATCAAGATTTATGTTGAAAGTCGCTTAAAGATCTATACTTTAGAGAAAAATAGTTTGTTTATATTTAATTCAATTAACAAAGCATATAACTCCATTATTAAATGGAAGAGATACGAAAAATTCGAAGGGAGTAGAGAACTTGCTGTAATTAACACAATGCGATTAATAAGCAAGTATTTTTAGGGATCAGTAACTCTAAAGGAAAAAAAACGAAACCCTTATAGGAATACATTGTTGTCCGTCTGTCTGTCAAGACCCTTTTTTTAGTGATAACAGCCTTAATATAAATGTGAAACAGACGAAAAAATAAAAGAAAATATTGTGAGGAGAGTTACTGTTACTAACACCTTTCAAATTTTAATTCGAACCAAGGATTTAAAAAGAAATACAAATATTAATTATAAATGTCGCACGTGTGTGCCATAAATTCCAATTTGGATTTGAACATTTTCTGAATGTTCTACAACTATGTAATAATCAAAAGTTAACTAAATACCAAAGTGTTTCTGACACGTGGTTATTGGTTAGCTCTTATGTAGAATTGATATGCTGCGTAAACTTGCCTTGCAACGAATTTTCGTTCAGAATGAAATATTGATGCAGCATTTATAGCTCTCAAGAATGCTAGAAAGCGAAATAACATCGCATTATTTCTTATCGTATTGTTGTAGACGGATATAAATAGTTCAAGGTAGACGTAATATACATATTCTTTGTTTCTATGAAAGCAGTAAATTTTTATTCATGACTGTAATTTGAGATAATTTATTATTATCTATACTTTGCTTGCTGAAATTCTGGAAGTTAATGTTTCTTAAAGCTAGATCCATAATAACGCCGCCAAGTCTGAATCTAATCAAAGCAAACAAAGGATCTAACTTTGTATCGATTCTTGGGACTTGTTTGGTGATGTATTATATAAATGTTTGAAGTCAGTATGTTGTGTTACCATTAAGTACGTACCCTACAGTGCCATTGTCCAGGTTCTGGAGGTGCTTGTTGAGGGTCTCCTGTATGTTCTGCTGGGAGTACAGCCCGATGGGCGAGTTGAACTGCTTGTGCACTATCTTAGGGCCAGTGGCCATCTTGGAGTCGTTCGTTCGGCGCTGGAACATGAGAGAAACAATTTCACGTTAAGTTTGCTTTAAAAGCTTGCTTTGCTTTAAAAGTTAAAATATAAAAATTTAAAGGAAAGAAATCTTTTTCTACGCGGTAGATAAGTTTTATCCCAATTGCATTAATGGAAAGAAATTACATTACGCAAAATAAATTTAATAACTTATGTACGCTACAAATCAATGTAAAAATTTAAGAATACGTTAACCTCTGGAATAAATTTTGTTATAAATTTATTAAAATTCGCAATACTCTTCCTGAATATTTAGGCACATAATTAATTCCAAAAACGTAACTGTATAACACCGGTGCTGTAAAGATTAGATTGACAATTTTTATCCTCCTCATGAGGTAATTTTATTACAGAGCCGTCAGATTCGCGGGCCGAGGGTTAGAGGAAAGCTCGGCGTCTTATTGCAATTTTATTAGCCCCGATACCAACGGCGACGGCTATAATATTTTGTCCCGAATGTCCCGGCGACAGGTAGCTTTGTACAAATAAGTTTTCAATATTAGCATCCGACGAGACGCGGGTTAATGGTGAAATTATTGGAAAAATAAGTGTTTTGAAGGACTCTTGAAAATTAATAAGACATTCCAGAGAAAGAAATATTAAATTTACTTGCAGAAGTTATTATGGCCGACGAAATCGACTCTAAATTATAATTGAAACTGACTTGTAAAAGCAATATGATTCTGTTTTTTTTTTGATGTATTATTACTGTTGTCACAGTGTCTTTTAGAAATGTTTAGGGACGAATTGCAGGTGGGTTAGACAAAATGTACAGAAATGACGCCTGAATATCACGTGAATTATCGAAACCGAACCGAATTATTTGTCAGTTTCATATATTTTTGGAGTTCGTTATGAAATCGCTTCGGAGCGAATGCACTTTGGTCTAACCCCCCCAGATTTTACATTCGGTGTAATTGAGGACCAATAAGGTATATGTGCAAGCTGTGCAGTTGAGATAGGAACGTTGTGTTGTGTGAAGAACGAGCAATTTATTCGGTAGCGCGGAAATTGATACAAAATCTATTTGTGTGAGAGTCGGTACTCGCGAAATGTAGGCGGAAGGCGTCTGAGTATCGTCGCTCTGGAATTAGACGGCCGTGTGCTGCATTGTGAAAGCGAATGTTTATCTACCGTTTAATTACGAACTCTCTATAAAGTTCCAAGGTGTTCAATGCAATGTAAAACAAATAAAGGTAAAAGTTCTGATTAGTAAAACTTCATAAGTGATGTGTCTGTACAAATATTGTATAGACTGCACTATCTTAGCGTTTATCGTTGTTAGTCTATTTCCTTTTGTCGCTTTTCCGCTTAATTCCAAATTTAATATGCCAAAATTTTCCTAAGATAATTTTTTTTTATTGTTATCAGATTTGTAAAATATATTCCGCGATTATAGACCGCGCTGAATTATGTATGTTTGACACATGCGTCAAATTTAAGCGAAATAGGTTGAGCCGTTCTAGATTACACAAACCATCCATCCATACTATCGAATTTATAATATTAATAATAAGTAATAAATTGTTTAATAAAATATCACCGTCAGTGTTATTTCAACGTTGTCCAATATTAAAAAAGTTAAGATTTCAGTATTCGCACTGTTTTTTGTACACATACAATTCGGTCGGACGTTTATAACAGAAGCGGCGTGGGAGTTTTTAAAAACTTGCCAGTGGCTCTGTTCAAAAGATAAGATATTTAGAGAAGGCAATGAAAATAATCTCCAGGCATAAATATTTTGAAGGCCGGGGAACGAATTTCATGTTTTAATAAAAAAACATGCATAATTTCAAGATTGTGATATAGAATATTATGTTTAATGCTTGTCATTTTATATACAAACACATACTGTGTTTATAACATTTACTTATACTTATTCATAATTTTATTTTTATGTTATTTACACGTTTTTTAGTATTTAGGTATTATTTTGCATTTTTAGGCATTTGCTTGTACCCAATTTCTAGTCGATAATTGCCTAATTTGATAGAGATAATTACAGATAACACGTTAAAATGTAAGGTACGTTTATATTACAAGGGTAAATGTGATGTAAAAATATTTTCCAGACGAGTTTTGTGGCCGATGATGATGTTTTTAAAGTAACAAGGTTAACAATACCGTCATCAAGGTTCGAAATAAATCTGTCGTCTAAGCGGATGATAAAAATAGTTTCGAATATTTTCAAGCGCATCTATCCGCGTGGAAATGTTCAAGTGTATTTCATATATACATCAATTAGAGACGAGTAAATTGGTTAGTTTGTTTTATCTGGAATGTTTTTTTAATGAAATCACCATCAGAGTTTGGTCACCGCTTACGAGTCTGCGAAAACGAAGACGCGTCCAGTCTATTTCAGTAACATGAAGTCATGGCGAATTATTTTTGTAACCGTACACCTATGCAGTTAGTGACGACGGCCAGGTGAGAAGCGAATAAAAATACGTTATGTATCTAGAAGCATTTTATTAGTGCTAATGTTACGTGAAGCTTAGATTTATTTTGTAATGGGTACCTTGGGCGGCGGTCAGGTTCGTGCGAGCGGCGTGGATGCCGGCCTCTTACTGAGCGGGAGGAAAAGCGGGCGCCCACGCGCAAGCTCTCGTCTCACCTGTAATGTTTCACTGATCATGAAAAACTTTACTCACATACATATAAATTCGCTTAATAATTCACTTGCATCACGTATGAATATAATTATAAAAAATCGCACAAGTTACACTCATTTGAAGTACATATTTACAAAAACGATTTTCAGTTGTTCCCGGAACACTGTGGGTAGTTAAGGTTATTCGTTTACCTTGAGCTATATTTTTAGTTGAAATATTTGTACGTCTGTAAATAAGTTACCTGGTATTAACACTGACAATGCGGACCTTGAACTTAAACGACCGTGTACTGATACAGTGCTGAATTGCGACACACAGTCTCTGCCACCTTCGGCTTCCAGTCAACGAATGAAGGCGCGCTGATCGCATAGTCATGAATTTTATAACATTGACTATTTTTAAATCTTCGCTGCGAATATGGTGAAAATAAATTAGAAGCGAGTACATCTGATATTATCTATCCTACAGACACTCGTTTTCGTTTTGATAAGGTTGTTGATCTCGCAGCTCCGCGCGTTATTTCCGCCAAAGAAATGGAGCACATTTTCCACGATTATATCTTCATCGACTACTGTTTTCGATCGACTTCCCCAATTACAAAATAAGCCAAACAAAGTTCTCGCTTTCTCACTTTTAGTCTAAAGAAGACGTAACGTAATTCACGTAATGTAATTAAACAATTTTAATAGTTTACCTATGTTGTCAAATCAATTTAAATTAGTTTATTGCACTGTAACTTTGAATAAAAAACATTATTTAAATTAATTTTGATACCTACTAAGATTTGGAAAATAAGAAGACGTTTTGTGTTTATCAGTGCATCGATTGTCTTTAACTGACAAGTCCTTTGAATACGCATGTTTCATCAGTTTCAAATTACTATTATTATTATTATTTCTTCAGTAGCATTGCTCAAACTAAAAAAAACAGTGATATTTGTTCAGTGTATATAGGTATAGAGATGTGTGTTTAAAAACAGATGAATCTTGTTTTATTTCTGTCCGCCAAAGTACAGCCAAACAGGTGGGTAATGGTGTTACTATGAACTCGCGAGTGGGACGTGAACAAAGAGCTACGAACTGATGCAACGAAAAAGTTTGAAGGTGGGACCGCTAGTACTGTAATTAAACATTCGTAGCTCTATGTTTTCTGGTAGATGAATGCGTTCTTGGAGGGCTCTGCGCGTCAGAGCTTATGAATCACCCATGCCGGCTGCAGACACTAATCGTTTGACATTGTGTCTATAAAAATACATTCATTGTCTCATTTTCGTAGTCATTTTCAAGGCTATTCGAATAATTAAGCGTAAATATGTTTATTTATGCCGTGTTCGGCACTGCATCAAATTAAATTTATTCTATACTGCCATTTTGTTTGAGGTATTTATGTCTGTATCTTTAAAAGGAAAATTGTTATACTTTCGTATATTTCGTAGCATTATTATCGTTTGAACGTTTATTTTTGTGTTCTACTACTTTGATGTTTTTTTGACATAATACACAAAAGAACTAGATGTAACACCGCATTTTTACCACGATCACTTTGTTTCATTATAATTATTTAATTGATACTTCCGAATAGGGTATTCGTAAGACGTTCTAGACTGTTCGCGGCACGTGTTCATGACATTATGACAAGTACAATATCCTGCAGGCGAGCATAATCATGAGACTATGCATTTCATTGCTTCGATTGTATACAAATGTCGTGTATTACGAAGGACTAGCCTGTCGCTAACATTAATTTGGGTAAATATTTGTTTTTAAACAAACTGTCAAGATTTCGGTAAATAAAAGGCAAAGAAGACCAAGCGCTAGGTTTACAAAAAAAGAAAAATCCGTAATTTAAAAATCAAAATTTAATGTAAAATATAAAAATAATTCTTCACTTTAATTGAACAATTTTTAACCTTTTAAGTGTTAACTGATAACAATATCAAAGCGAAGGAATAATTTTAAAAATATTAACAAGATATCAAAGAAGTGTTATCTTAACTTTGGCAAAGTTTAAGTAAAAAATACTTATATAAACCTTAGAAAAAATATTTATATAAACATACATCATTTAAGAATCCTCCGAATTTAACGTCAAGTGGTTTTAAAGATAATATGAACATACATAAAATAATAAACTTTTTTATTTTCTACATATTATCTCTCTATCTCTACACATATCACTTATACAATACCATATAGGTAAAATTTATTGGAAATTAATGCTTAATTATACATGATAAATTTGATTTAAAATTAACATATTCAAAACCTGCTGTAGATTTAAGCGAGAATTCATTCATTGTTATATTCATAAATGAATTTATTATGTTGAATATTAAATTACATAATTATTCTGAAATGTTAACGGAGAAATGAAAACCTGCATAGGATTTACATTTTGTATACTAACGCTTAAAACTAATGAATACGGAATCTTAAACTACAACTGTTTTACGTTAAAAATTAGTTCTAACAATGAGTCGCTTTAACTGGGAAAAAATAACATTTTCATATAACCCCGCTGGTAAAAACAATACGCGGTGCCCGCTCTTTTGTATGTAGTTTCTTTTTAATTAACAAAGAATTCATACTGTTTAAGATTTCCATCTTATTTTCTAAGCGTATTTTTTTTTCTTTAAGTTTGTAGTTTTAAAAAAATATAACCGTGGTTTTCCACTACAGGAATACTATTTAAAAACAAATTCGCAACGCTCCCATTCTCTTACGACATGTTAGGAATAATAAAGGTATTTTTTTAATATTTTATGTTTATTTTTTTTTGTATATTTGTTAAGGTAGTGGAAACCGTCAGTTAGCTTGTTACGACGTAACAACTTTCAAATGTTTAATTTTCTTCAATCTGTAGGTATAAATAAGGCCAGCTACACATAACTCCTCTCTGATACTAGACATATTATGAATACAATCTTTCGGATATGGATAGGAATATAAAACCAATAATAGTCAAAAGTTTGGGATAGTACTCGGTTACATGTATTAGGTTTTAAGGATCTTTGTAAATACACGTAGTTCTTTGTCAACAAATTGATTTCTAAAATATTCCTTGTCCAGAAATATCTTGTTTTCTCATTACTATAGTCATTTAATTTATATTATATACGTGTGGTAAGGCATGAGGGATATTTTTTTAATAAAACGCTTTGTATTTAGACATATTTTATTTATTTTAACTCATCAATTGCACTATAGTATCTATACAAAATCCAACATAAATTGACTACACTTATAATATTTAAATTTATGTTTTGTTACACAAATAGAATTTTGCCATAAAAATAATTTTTCGTCACTACTTTCAGATTAATTTAGTTGTTGGTTTACAATACAAAATAAGCCTTTTGAAAATAAGAATTTTGAAATTCAGAATATAAAACATATCAGGAAAAGTTTTACATTTACCCAGCTCATAAAATGTAGAACTCATCAATCACCGTTTCTAAATAATAATAATGAGATCATATTTATTAAGTAATTAAAATAAAAAAAATTAAAAAAATTAAACTGGCAGAAAAACAAAAAATATACAGAAGAAACTTCAACATTAAAAAAAAACCTATTAGGGACACGACGTAAAATTTTCGTTATCAACTTGTTAACAATATCATAGATAATCTTTGTATACATTTAGCTTATATTATTAAAAACACCTAAATATTGATATTAAAATTTTGACACAGCATGTTTAGCGGGTATAGCTTGCCGCAACAGACTGGCGACATATAGTATGGAGCGTTGAGATGCAGAAATTATTTTGTTAGGAGTAGAATCGATACGTTTACTGCTGTCTGTCGTCTTCCACGGAGCCGTTGGCTTTCACCTCCTTAGGCAAGGCGGACTGAAACAAGAGTTCAAAGTTAAAAACCAATATTTCTTGATAACTAAGAAAATCTAACTTTGGGAAACTTATTATAGAGGTTTCAGATCGATTCAGATATTATAGACATGTATAATTATGCGATTTAGGGAATTTATAAAGGTCTATTTTTTTGTTTTATAAGAATTCTTAATGTTTTATAAAATGTTAAGTACCTACCTCTAGGGGTAGCAAGTACATGTTGTTATCGGAGCGGCGACCGAAACGAAGACGCATAGAGGGAGTACGCACAGCACGGTCCTGTTCCTGTACACACCATACAGAATATAATTTAGATATATAGTGAAAAGTGCCTCGCATGACTTCGGTTAAAACAAAGTATTTGTTATGGTGACCAAAATCGTAGACTGACTAGAAGTGGCTTATTATACCTAATACAGAGGCTGTCACTTCTGCTTTATATCTTCGTATCACGTATTCAATACATCAATCTTATTCAATATAGAAACAAAGTTATAAGGTGAGGGAAGTTTGTTCGTCGTAAAACAGTATATCGTCGTAATAAGCCTTAGACGATAGTACCTTGTTAGAGTTGTATTTTCATTTCACGGCTTTACATTTTATTTACGGTCCGATGTTACAACAATACGTGTGTAATTTTATAAGGTCAAGACAAACGATTAGACTATAGAGGGATCTAGATGTATTGTAATTTGTGTTATTCATTAGAGTACTCAAAAATATATTATCAAACTTAAGGAATTTAATAATGCCAATCTAATTTAACATCACGCAATTTTGTATGTAACTCTACATTCAACACAATTTGATATAATATTTCAATTTCTTTATGTCTCGACAATATTTGTCGAGACATAAAGAATTTCCTCTACCCGCAATAAGCCACTGAGTAGCTGGTTGAATGTTGTATCATCATCTCTCAGTACATTGTGCATTACCTCTTGGGGGAAGATGTGGGGCACAGCGTGTTCCTCGGAGCGGCGGCCGAAGCGCAGACGGACGGGCGTACGCACCTCACGCATCACCAGCTCTTCCATCTCGTCCAACTAAAAACGTTATTATTATGTTAAAAAAACCTAAAATTTTTGTTAAATCGTTATTTGTAACGCTAAAGTTATTCTTCTTTAATTTAAGAAAACGAAACGACTAAAAATGCAATGTTACACTTTAATATTTAAAATTAAATTTTTAACAATAAAATATTAGCAAAGTTCCGTGTTTACGGATACCGCTGAGATGAAACTCACGTGTCACGTAATGACGTAATCGTGTTTAAATTGAGAGATTTACGTTAAACGGAGAATAAGAAGGTTCTTTATCGCAGTTAACAGCGCTGAGGGAGATACACTTGTGCGTTGAGCGACCTACTTTTAACATTTCCTGTAATTTTGTGGAAAAGAAAATACTTTGAGGGAATCGTTTTCAAAATCGTGTTGATGGATATATCGTTCATTTGGATACCAATAGATGAGATTAAAAGACAGTCCTTAGGCATGTTTTCGTTACAGGTACAGATAATTGCACGATCAAAAATGTATAATTTATGATTCTTAAGTAATTCCAAAATTTAATCAGGTAGTTCTCCATTTTCTGCTTCCCACGACCTTAGTAAATTATTTATATAGTAAATTTAGCTATAAAGTTGCTTACGTTATTATAAGTACCATTCGAATCCGTTCTTTTTGGAGTTTAGTATTAACAAATTAATTCATATTAGTAAGAGCCAATATTATTACCGGGGCCTGTGCGGGCATGTCGGGGTCGGAGCGGCGGCCAAAGCGCAGCCGGCGAGAGGGCGAACGCACAGACTTGCGGGCCAGTGCGTGTCCGTCGAGTGCATCATGTTGCGCCAGAAGCGCGTAGAGCCCGCCCAGTGCCTCCCAGCCCTGGCCCTCGCCTACCGCACCTGTACAAAATAGTTGTTACAACATAAACATTACGAAAATGTCAATAGTGTGAACATTAATTTGGCTATAATAATGTCCTGAGTGTAAAAGTTGAATATCGAAGACTGTAGAGTGTTTTTCGATCCGTTACAAGTTACCTACATAATACTTATACCATAATAATTCTATCTTAATATTTATTATGTAAAATAAGTTTCATGGAGATTGCAAATAAAATATATTTCTTAGATTTCCACAATCAAAACAAACTATGAAAGAGAAGCGAAGCAGCGATGCGTATTGCCTGCCGCTGACATGACGAGTGGCACTGTCTTACTGTTCTGTTGCTCCCTATCTACTTCAAAACATCCTGACAAAGTTCGTAAGTAATATATGTACATATGAGTAGTCTGTGTTAAGATTCTTCGAATTCCTAGTATCGAGAACCGTTCTTGAAATAGCTAAATTTCTGTTTAAATGATTTTTCAAAACCTATTTCAAGTAAATAAGCTAATTACTTTTACTTAAACCTTTTCGTTGGTTAAGTATAAAGAAGTGCGCAGCTTGTGTTTTACTGCATATTACCGTAACAGGTTTTAAACAACTTAGCAACAGATTGTATAATAAACTTTTATAAAGTTTTAAGCTACTTTAGTGGTATGTTGAGAAGTTACTATATAAAAAAAATCAGCGTATACCTCAATGTATTAAGAAATATGTTTTACTACAGTGCAATGCAGTAGTTAAGTCTTGATTTTTTTTAATTAATGACATATGAAATTTTACCGCTTAAATTTTTGTCAATTCCTATGTAATAAAGATATGTTTTTTTTATATTTATATTAGTTCCATAGTTTTTGCAACATTGTTGTAGGCTGTAGATTTGTATTGTAATAACAGAAACTTTGTTGTGACTGCGCTAGTTCCGCGCACGGTAAGTCGATACTCAAGTTGTAAATGTTAAGCATCAGTAAAGTTGATTGTTGCCAGAACTTTGCACTTTATTAGTGCTTCTACGAACTTCCTTATTGGTCTAGGTACTGATCTTTGATACCACATTGTTGTTAAATTAATATTATACATTGAATTATTACGATCTCTCAAGAGTTAGGTTACGTGATACGCTCTTAACTTCAAATTCACAAACAACTTCAAGTCCCTTCTAAAAAAAAATAGCAATAATTTTGCATTGTGATTATTTGCCATTGTTAATGGGACACGGTTTTCGAATAACAAAAGGTAAACCACTAACTACTACTGTACACTAAAAATACACTGGAATTAAATAATTTAAGTAATAACATAAGGAAAAAGGTTGATAATTTATTGTATCTTCGATTGCTTAGAGTCCGCGCTTGAAAAGAGGGGGTCACAAAAGATCTCCCTTGCTTACAATAAGTCACGTATTTCATTTTTAACGTTAAATACAGATAATAAGACTTAAGACAAATGAACTAGATTATTAACATAACATTTAAATTGCGGTCAGGGTTAATGCACATTATACTAAGACAAAAGGAGTATGAAACATTATAGAAAAGCATATTCTGAATCAAGTTTTTCTAACTAAAGTAACATATTGAAGATTTTAATTTAGCGCAATTAAAAAAATTAATGGTAATCGAGATTAATTTTTCGTGGAATAACAGAGTTATAAAATATTCCAATTATAATTAAATTTACAGCTAATATAATACTATGTCGACATTTTCATTCAGTTTAATTTATATTTTTATCATTTGACGCAATCTCAATCGTTCACGGCTGTACGCGTTTTCGTTGATATCATATTTCGCTAAGTTAATAAGAGTTTTTAAAGTAAAATATATCCTTATGATTAATCATATAAAAAATTGAAATTATTTTCAAAATAATTTTGTATAAAGAAAATCACATTATAGGGTTATAAATATGAAAAAATAAATTGTGGGTTAAAAATTTAATGATATTTTATATGCAAAAAACAATGAAGCTATACTGCGTGTCACCCTCTTTGAAGCTACTGTAGTGGTTTTTATAATTTGGTTTTTATTTGAGCTGGGCTATTATGTTTTTACCATTGTCATAAAAATATTTTTTCATAAACCATTAAGTAAAATATAGTATAATATTAAGATATTACACTGCCTTAAAACATTAATCAACATCGAGTTGTCTCCCTGTCGAAGTGGACTTAAATGTTAACTCTACTTAAAACAACTCGCTTTAATATTTAATAAAGTTCCTGTTTCGAGGAAAAGGTTTAGTAAATTAGCAATTTAATAAAATGGACAAGAAGTATTAAAAATTCAAAATTGAATAGTATTATAAGTAAGTTAATTATAAAATAAATTATTCAAAACATGTTAAATAAAATACCCTCAATTATAAATTCGGGAGGTTGAAGATAACCGTGGATATTCATTGAAAAATAACCGGGACAAAATCAATAAATAGAAACAAGGTTTCATTATAACTTTACCTTCGTATTGTGCGCTGGAGGTCGGCAGCATGCAGATGGCGGTCAATGCGCACAACGCTAGGGAGATGGTGCAACTGCGAGACATGGCTGAAGCAAAAGAAAAATAATTCATTTAATATTCCTGTATATCAATTGATTATTTTGTAGAATCATTTGCTTTTTGTAATTTAATTTTTAATTCACGAATGTTTTTATACGATCATTTGTTTCATTTTTTTTAAAGTTGAATTAAAATAAAGTGAAAAACATTTTAATGTTCAAGATAAAGTCTTTAAGATTGTAAAGTTCATTTTTATTTATGAGTTATATAATCATATTAATTAAATACTGAAATAAATATTTGTGCCTGAAAATAAAAAAAAGTTAAATGTCAATGGCATAATGGCTCAACAAGTCCGACACGCTAGCATTCCGCGCGTTCGTGTGCACACGGCAATAGTGACGTCATCAATCACTGTTATCAAGGGACGGTGTCAGTTCGTCACATCACGCACTCCCCATGCCCTTCCCGCGCCCAGCGCGCGGCGTCGCCCCGCGCTCACACATAAAATGTACAGGCGTTTTTATTAAAGCCCTTTTCACATGTGTAGCCGACACAATAACTGAGATTTATCACACACATTCCGTCCTAGGGATTGAGGGGCCCAATTTAGCTTATGTTGTAAGAGATAACGAATAGGAGCTTCTTTTTATTGTCAAATAAAATTTAACCTGCGCTACATATTGGGCATGAAATATACGTACTTATAATGCTGTCAGTTGGTTAAGAAGGCAATTTGTAAAAAGTAAATATTGCGGTATATAAATATTAATACAAATGTTATTCTCGGCTCGGATTTGTAACTAAAAAATGTGATTATTCTGCTTTATATGTATGAATATAAAAATAAATCTAATAACTGGAACGTCCTGAAGTAGCTTTTGCAATGTAAATTTCTTTTTTAATAACGTGAACCAATTACATAGCCCTGACGTTGTGATAAAAAGGAAAATGCGTGGGGTAAAGTTCAAAAGTCGACATCCCTAGTTCTAAGCTCATAAGAGGAACAGTTATTAACTACTACGTGCAATGCCTTTAGATCAAAACTATGCGATATGATGAACTAATTGCGTGGGTGTTAGACCACAATTCTGGTCTTTTAATATGATATAGTGAATGAATCTTACTAATATTACAAATGGAAATATTTGGATGGATGGATGTTTGTTTGAAGGTATCTCGAGAACGGCAGAACGGATCGAGATGAAATTTGCCATACTTATAGACCATAGTCTGAAAGAACACATATGCTACTAAGTTTTTTTAAATACCGTATAGACGGAGTCGCGGGCGACAGCTAGTCTTTGAATAAAATACTGAGATCAAGGATATCATCAATAATGTATCTCAGTTGCCAGTATTACAAATAGAAACAAACGTATTTCATATACGTAAACAAGAAAATGTCATCGCACAAACAAAAGGGGTACAAATTTGAAACAATATATCCCTATTGATATCCCGAAGATATTTGCTTAAGGAAATGATGTTTGTACATCCGTCAAATACTCACCTACCTATGTTACTAGCCTTGTGGTTAGTTACGTTATTTGAATTTCGGGATGCATTTGTTATTTCAATTCTAGATTAAGTTATCTACTAAGCTTACTAGATTATACTGTAACATTGTCTGCAAGTTTCGCTATACTACATCTCCAATAGAAACTCTATGGAGTCTGATCGATATTATGATAGATGAGTCTACGATCTGAGGGAGTAAGTTGTAGCGGAGTGCAGTCGCTGCAAAACAATTTCCAATTACAATAAATTTTGTCTTAAACCTAGAAAACGTTTATGCAGATGTTACCACATTAATAAAATTATTTAAACGGCTAATTGCAATATTTCTATTTTATAAAACAAGAACACATTATTTAATTTATATAAAAGGCAAGGCATTTATACGATAAAATATCAAGTTTAAATCTTCTTTGTGACACACGTAAAGCGATTGAATTTTTGATAATGTTAACTTAAGAAACAACGGGTTATTATGCAATCTGATTTTATTCCTTTTTAAATTAATATATTTATTTTAGTAACTCTTACTTCGTCGTGGTCTGCATGACTACGTTCTATTAAAAGTGTGCTTTTCGTACAAATGAAGTTACATTCTTTAACCTGTGATGCGGTAAATTAGTACACGTTTATGTACATGAGTGTACATTTATGTGCATAAGTTTTTATTTATACATTTGATATTCTGAAATTACTATAAGTAAATTTATTTTATATTTCTGTCGTTGCATAAAACGTCCACTAATTACCTCCATCTCTATATTAAATATCTCCGTAACATCTGCGTTCAACTTTCCCCAACTGATGTTTCATTTAATAAATGAACTTTGTTCCTACAACATATATTTTATGTAATCTGCAAGCAATACATGTAATGCACTAAAATTGCACCCATTTATGGTATATTTTCTATCAATAGAAAAGTAAAAACATTTTCAAAAGAAAAGATAATGGTGTCAATGACCTAAAATGTTGATACGGCAGACTATCAACAGGTGGGGAATATAGCGTGTGGCCGGTCGCAATTGACTAGAGCCAATGAACGAGTGATTGATGACCGGAGGACCGAATGAACGATAAACTTGACACGTACATCACGTCATTACGATTTTTTAAGCGATTGACATCCCTGACTCTAATGACGAAAACTTTTATCTAATTTCTTCTCGCATTACTTTACTTTTGAAAAGTATAAATTTTATTTTTTAGATTAACAAAAACTTTTTGTATCCTTTTCCTAATTATAGTTGGTTAAGGCATTAGTTTAAGTTATCGTTCCATTTATGAATCTAAAAAATAAAGCAAATACAATTATTTGATTAAAATTCAACAATATACGCAATATGTGTTTCCAGTGTCGACGTTCTCGTAATCGAATAAATTGTTTGTACGTTTGTAAATGACATTGGTGCTCTAAGATAGTCTGAATTAGTTTCCAAGTACTCGAATGGAGAAGGATCTACGCTAATTGAATGAATCTAAATCGGACTCGATCCTTATCCTATGCTAGAACCAATTAGTTGACAATGTTAGGAATTAGTTTGGTGCAGGACAGATACGCATTCAAAAATAATTTTATTAGGCATCGTAGACATCTTTTACATAAATAAAAAATAACTTTATGACAAAAAATTACAATTACTATAATAATCCAAATTATAACAAAAAGAAATCACAGTCAATTTTATTCCTCGGAAAAAACAACGTTGGGAATGCCTTTTCATATGTTGCAAAAATAACGTAAAAAGTCGTCTTCTATGAAATGGCAAGCCTTTCACAAAGTGGACAGACACCATGTGCACCGAGATATGCTTGTAAATAAAACATACGCGAGTACTGACTACGGCGATTGTATACCGAAACAACAGTGCCTTACTGAATGTGAAATTCTGCGACACAATTCACTAAAGGAAAATGTAAAGCTTGCTCGCCTTATTTTTTGTAATGATTTAAATATCTTTATTTTATTTTATTTCTGTTCAATAGCTACTTAAATAAAGTTTCTAATTATATATGAAATCTCATAATTTTCCGATATTATCATTATAATGTTCAAAATATTACACCTACTAAAATGTATAAATTAAGGTTTGTTTTGGTAAAGTATTTGTTGTGGTTTGTGCTACGACGCGTAGCACTCATAGCGCTGTGTAGGCGCTTGTGTAGCACGTAGCGGCTCACCGTGACATTGCTTTGATCAGTCGGGCGGGAAATTGCATGGCGGCACACCCCATAGGCATAGACCATAGACTCAACATACAGTGTCGTTAACTCTATGGAAATCGACACCTTTATTATACGACGGAACCATAGTAAAATTCTAAAAATAGTTAGTTTTATGCCTATTTTAAGATATCGCTTTTATGAATAAATAGTGTTGCCTTTTTTGTGATTAAATTTTCTTCTCTTTACTTTATATTTTTGTTACTTATTTATATTTTTATAATATGAAAAAAATACAATTGTCGGCTCAAAGGAATATAGGATTCGGATTCGATGAAACCGTTCTATTATAGAAAACAGAACCATGTAGTACATACTAATTGGTTCAAATATAGATTGCTATTTTCATAGAAACAACATACTTCTAAAACATTTTCATTTGTTTTATTGTCTATGGGCATATTGTTCAAATTCAAAACAAAACAATACTGGATATAAAAAGCTTATAAAAAGTAGCAACTTTCATATCAAAAGGAATGCATCGATTTTAATTTGCATGAAAACGTACATCACATCATATTAAGTCCATAAATTTTACAAATAAATTTTTTGAACCGTTAAACTGTAGTTGAAAGTGAGCATGTCTGGGAGGTAGAATAAGTTTTCTCCGTAGGTTTCAGACAAATGCTTAAGGTAGACGGCGGATAGGGGCGGGTCAAGAAAACTTTAATTGGTTATCAAAGCACCTGACACAAGTTTCAATGACTAAATTGTATACGAGTCTGTCAAACTTTTTTGAAATATATTTTATTTACATTCCTTGAATATTATAATTTACGATGTAAAAAGAAAAAATCGTTCAAAGCCGGCTTCACTACCAAGACTACTTTTAATTCATTTAATTTACTTTTGATTTGTAAATAAAAAACCTCAATAAGTAACTTTGAAGTACCTATCTTACTTTTGGTTTGTTGTAATTTTTTTCTTTTAAAACGAATAAAAGCAACATAGCTGTAACATTAATTTTAAAATTACAAAAATGAAATGAAATCTTCGAATGCATAAAAATTTTATACTTTATTCGTGGCTCAGCAAAACGAGCGACATTTTATTGAGTTGGAAATTTAAAACTCTACTTCCTGTTATATTGCAATCTCACTAATCCTTATGAAGTATTTACTTTCTCATAGTTTTCCGTATTACTATGCATTACATTTTAAACTCTATGCCGATGGAGATCAAGGTAGTAATCTGACGATGTTTTTGACGAATTTAAGGCTCGGCGATCGTTTAAAATATGTATGTTACATGAACAAGTTTTAATATATTTTAATAAACGAACACATAATAATACTATATGACATTA